CATTGATGAGAAGCATGTTAAGTGACGTGCATTGGGTATTCACCGTTTACAATTACACTAATGCGTTCTTCATTTCGCTGCATATGGACATACATACATTCATATTACATATTTGCACTTGTAAGCCTGAGTGTTTACCTACATACATACAGATGTATGTGCGTACATACATATGTGGTGTGATTATTGCATACAATGTGATGTTTGCTTTCATTAAGTCTAAGTTTAGAGCATTGGACCGTAGACTCTAGAGCGCAGCAGCAGCAGCTCAAGCAGGTGGGGTTCAAGTTGCAAAAATGTGTACAAACACAATTAATTAATATTTACTAAATCAGTAGTGGTTACTTGCCTAGTTGGTTTATAATGAAATTCAGGCATTCATCGACATATTTACAAACAGTTGAAGGTGAGGGCAGATTTGTGTACACATGTATGTATGTATGTACATACAAACGTGTACATAGAACTTATTCAGATGTGCATTTGAGTTTTCTTATGAAAATATTGAGTGTAAATTAATATGAAACTTCTGAATTTGCATATTTTTTTGTTGGGGAATAATGACAAATTTATTTACTCATATTACTAACTGGTTTTGCTATAATTGTAATTAAAGCGGTGTGCGTAAGTATGTTTTGCAAGAATAGGCTGGGGCGAGTAAAAAAATGTGCAAATGAAAATTTTCTAGTTAGAAATGACAACTTTGTCTGATCTGAGTAAAAAGCTCCCCAATAACATTGTCTTTAAATTTATCGAAGCGGCTTTTTCAAATTAACATTTTCTTGGTGAGCTGGTATTTATAAAAAATTATTTTAAAAATTGTATTATTATTTTCACTATTTAATTTAATAATATATAAATGTATAAACTCCTCACCTGCACAGCCTTATTCACGGTTTTCTCACTTTCTTCCACAGCCTGTCAGTTTAAATTTTCATTACTAACAGCTCTGTTCAGTGAGAAATATCAGTAAGAATAGGCCTGTAACGAAGTGCCGAATTTATACTCTCTCGGAGTAAGTTTTACTCACCGAACAAGGTCAGGCAATATTGATATTGATCGTTACCGCCCATCAGATCCCCGAACAACACTAATATGTATATATAACATGCCATGCCGAGGCCTTTATACCTTTCATGATCATATCAAATTTGTCGTATTTTATATTGGAATAAAATATCTTACCTTATCTTATGACTTAAAATTGTTTGGAGAGGGTTTTTAGACATGCATAGGTCACATTAAGCAGTGACTTCTTGAGGATATGACGGCATCTCTAGTAATAGCTTGTGGATTACCATCACTCCAAATACATACCCATTCAACTGCAGGTGAGCTTCATTTGTGAATGAAATTTTCTTGTTATAATCGGGATCGGTGGCCATCTCGTTTTGTGTTTATTCACACAACGTGCGACGCGCATGAGGGTCGTTCGGATTAAATTCTTGGACGAGTTAGATTACGAGTTACCTCGCACACAAAGATCCTTCCTTAAAGTCATCCATAAAGTTAATGGACTCCACTCCCACCTCCAAAAAGAGCAACTCTGAAACAGTATTGACTCATTAAAAAACTACACCTCTAAAATAAATCACCTTTCACAATCATCTGGCAGGCTACAATTTTTAGAGATGATGACACCACATTTACATCAATGACGCATTTAAAATCCAACGCAGAATCACTCTCCCCTTCAGATGTTTCTTTGAACTAAATAACAAATCGCTTATCGCCGCTGTTCGTGCCACAGCGCATTAAGAAATACCGGCTACCCTAGGCAGATCATTGGAAAGATTAGCTGCAGTCTTCAATTAGTGCCGAACGGAGCGTTATTGTTGACTCGGCTAAAATCACGTGGGCTGTGTCTACGCCAAAAGACGAAGAAGCCCATATAACGAGTTATATGAGGAGTCGATTCGATACCGTTCGCAGCAACCCCAACTGATATATGGAACGACTTGACGTATTTTACGTTGAGACATTTAAGCGAAAGCGTACAAAATACAAAAACTTTAAAAAGAACACCCTACGTTTTCGAGCCGAATTTTAAGCAAGCTGAAAAGATTCAAGAGCGCCCCTTCATTTAGGAAAACCAACGGATCGGTGTGATTTGTGGGTTGGAGGAATCATTTGTCCATACTTCTTCAAAAATGATGCCTGATAGAGCATAACCATCAAGGGCGACCGTTATTGCGCCATCATAACCGACTATTTGCTGACTGAAATTGAAGCTCGAGATCTTGGCGACATATGAATTCAACATGACGGCGCCACTTAACACATAACGCATCAGTCAATGGATTTATTGAGAGAACACTTCGGTGAGCATATAATTTTACGTTTTGGGCCGGTCGATTGGCCACCAAGGTCATGATACTACATGGCGTTAAACACTTTTCAGTAGGGATATGTAAAGTCTAAAGTCTATGCGGACAATCCCGCTTAGATCCAGGCCTTGGATCAAAACCTTATGCGTACTATTCGCCAGTTATCAGTCGAAATGATCGACGAGTTATCGAAAGTTGGACTCAACGGGCGATCCACCTGAGACGTAGACGCGGCCAACATTTGAAAAATATAATCTTCAAAAATAAATGTCAAAGAATGTCCTTTCGAATGATAGTAAACATTCCCCATTAAATTTGAATTTTCTTTTTTTTTTTTAAGAACGGAACCTAGAAATGGATCATTTAGATATATTTAAATGTACTATATATGGAGAGGATTAAGTCAATAACATGCCGCATAATTTACCAAATTAGTGGACATAACTTTTGTAAAGCTGAAAACATCGAAAGATGACAAAAACTGATTACAGACGTACTCTTTTTAATGACTAAACATTTAATTGAAAACAAATACTGTCTGAAACCATATATTTTGGGATTATGTGAAATAATTACAACAACAGTTTTGGCCGGTCGAAACTATAGCTGCCAATTCGTTTCACGTTTCCTCGTCAGACTTTTTCCAGGCTTTGTTCGAGTTGGATTCGAACAATTTACGCATTCACAAATATCACAAATAATTATACAGAAAAGTGAGCTGAAAAAGCAAAAACAAAAACAATATTGCTACAATATATTTAGAAATACAATCGATACGCATCAATTATTTCATATTTAATATCAAATAATAATTTTGTTTACTTTTACAATAAGCAAATTATTATTAAGAAAAAATAGCTATTTTTAATTTTACGAGCTTTCTACGCTATACGAGTATGTACTGATGTTCGTATGTACTTCCGTTTGACAAATTAAAATCTGATATTAATTGAATGCAAAAATAAAATGCAAAATCACTTTAAGAATGATGCAGTAGAGATTTTAAAGTGCTAATATAATATTAATTGCAACCTAATATGAATCGCACATCCACACAAACATACTCGTACATGTGTACGTGTATGTAACAGAAAGAGATGCTTGTAAGAAAATAATTATTCTGCTAAGTAATTATGTATCACCGGTTGTACTCGTGCTTAATGTATTTATTTATTTGAGGACAAGTGTGACAGTCTCGGCTACTGTCTACAAATAGATAAATCCACTTTTGTATACCGACGAGCGTACATTCAAACATACAAACATACATATATAGATACATACATACATACAAGTAGTATGTACATTTATTTGCTAACTCATACTTTTCTGCATATTTAACCACTTTAATACGATTTATCTATCAACATGTCTGACAACCGCGCGAAGTGACAGTGCCTTTCGTATCGCTACACAAATTTCTAGTCTAAATAAAACAGCGCAGGCGCAAGCGTGTCTGTGTCGACGATAAAAAAGTTATACGATCCGCATGCTTGACACGTAAGGAATTAAGTAAAAATAAATAATAAAAAAGTTGCAATGAGAACAACAACACTATATGTACATCAATTACGCTAATAAATAAATATTTCACATTAACATAGTTTCTATGAGGTTCTTCGTAGCAATTAAACTTTTTTTAAAACGAAATAAAGTCGACCGTAAAAAATTTCCATTAAAGCTTTTATTTCATTATGCGCAAACAACATTTGGATGTGAGTAGTAGACTTGACTCAGAAACCAAAGCGATTAAGGCTTCATGTGAATCTTAATTTTCAATAGGAAAAATTTAATTTTTTTTACTCTTTTCTAAAAATTTAAAAATCTATCCGGTCCAAAAAAAATTCAATTTGATATTAGAACTAAAAGAATATCAACCCGTGGCCGTCATCATCGCTAAGCCGACAGTTTTGATACCTTTTTTCCACAAAAATTTTGTTACATATTATATTTTATTGAATCGCCATCATTTTGTCCTCGTTCACTACCAGACCCATACAATTCACTTCCTTAACCAGTCTGGAATTCTGCTATTCATGGCGTAAGGGTCGAGGAAGATTGAAAATTGAGTTTGTTGTTTGTTCAGCTCTGAAGCTCGTATTAATTTTTCCGGTAATAAATCAAAGGAGTCATTGTTTGGTATCTACCGGCTCGGAGAACTCCTAACTAATGCTTATATAGCTTTAGGTGTGGCTTAGCGTGAGTTTACAAAGCTGTCGGTGCTGCTTTGAAATCGACGAAGAGAATTGTGTGCCGAACTTCTTTTCATATGTATTTCCCTAGCTTCGGCACATGGTGAACTATTTAGGAGGCTTTTCCCACCGTAATCAGCGGAAATTGTGGGGTCCCCGTTTCTGTGGATTGGACAAAGTTCATTTGGTTAAAATCGTCGGCGATTTGTTCTCTAGATTGCCAAGAAGCTGATGCATGCACCTTGTCAGCTCTTCACCATTGTATTTGAACAGCTCGGCGGGTAATCCATCGATTTCTGCCGCTTTGTAGTTTTTAAAGCAGGCAATTTCTATTTGAACTTCTTTTCGAAATAATTGTTCATCGTTGCATTCTCTAAGAATTTATTAATCAGATTTCAATTTATGAAGGAATGTCTTTCTTCCAGAATTAATTTAGGCTAAATTATGTTGTCTAAAGCTTTTCGATAAATCCTCTTTGCAGTGTATGATGCGATGGCCAAATCCTCGGCCGGTATCAACAGTGGTGTTTTGCATCAACTCGGGCACTTTGATGAATGTTTGCAACAACAACAATTCCATAGCAGTGCGCTCGAAACAGAAGAGGCTGAGCCTGTCGTACGATCGAAGTATTGCCTGCTGGACGTACAAATGAATGGCTTCACAGTGGAAACTGTGGCAAGCCGACGAAAAGAGGTAAGCGAATGCACATATTAACATATACATACAATATATAATATACATGTATGTATATACTAAACATCTGCGTACACTAAAGACTTTAATAATATAAATTTCAATGCCCATAAATGAACTGAGCATGGAAATATTGAACACTGAATATAAAGTGCGTAATTATGATATAGTAAAGAAAATTATACGATATACAATAATATCAATTAAAACGCTGGCTATTAATAGTAAATATACATGTAGACATATATTTACATACAAGCGCACCTTGTACCGATTTGGTACTTACTAAACTCAAAAAGAACGTGTCTTGTGGTTGCATTAGGCATGCGCTGTTGAATAACTGCGAAAACTGTTAAAAATAACTGATCTATTTGGTTTTATTTATTTGTGATAAAGGCGCCGATTTTTTATACCGAAAGCGCGCGTAGAAACCGTTTTGCCAAAAAAAGGGAGGGTCGCGAATTCCGTTTCTATGCGTTCTTCGTGTTCACTCAATCTTAAAAGCACTGGGCGGCTCACCTCGTCTACCGCATACTAATGAGTTCGTACGTGTATGTGGCTGTTAAATTTGGTTTCGATATTCTGCGCCGGTCGTTTTCGGCGCACATTTATGATGAGACGAAGGTAAATGATGTAAAGTTCTTGAGAGTATGAACTTGCGAATATGGGATGTATGCAATAAAACAGCTTATATAAAGAGATATGCACATTATGTCCCATGGAAAACGGGGAAAAATCAAATTATATTCCATATTAACGACACTGTATTCTCACTCGAGGTATACTAGATGTGAACTAACTTTTGCCCTTTTTCCAAGCACATGAGAGTTTTTCTATCGCTCCTGTTTCTACCACTAGCAGATATTTTTTATAGAATAGAGATTCATCTTGTGTTAAATCTTGTTTACGTTCGAACGAATATATCGAAATGAATATAGCCTTTATGTCTTTAATCCTGACGAAGGGTATAATATTGGTAGAGGGAAGGGAAGGTATAGATGATAGTTTTTCTAGTCTTTCTTCCAAAGCTTGCGAGCCACAAAGCAGAATTACTCTTGCCAACTGGTGCTGCTTTGGACTTTACAAGTCACTCATATTTGCTGATGGACGATGACAAAATCTGACTACAATAGTTGGCGTTAGGAGTTTTGGGAGAGAAAAGTTTTGTCTAAGATTTATGATCCTTGGTGCTTTGGCAACGGTGAATACCGCAGACAATAGAACGTTGAACTTTAAGAGCCTACTCTGTCTGAGTCATGTGGTCCGAATGGTTGAAAACAGCCCGTATTGAAAAGTTTTTGATTCAGTGTGACAAACCTCCATTCCCTTAGAAAGTTCAATAAGAGAATTACCTGGAGCTTCCAATAGGCGACGAACTGCGAAGAGAAGTAGAAAATGGCCACAATTACAGAGTCTGGTCTTCAATGATTATTATCATATTCATTTTTCCGGTCTGAGGCGAGTCTTTTAGAATTTAGCTATGTATGTCCCTCGCTACAGCGGTTGTGAAGCGGCAATTATGTATGTATGTATATACTCGTAATTACTTAATTTACCGCAATTGTTCTAGAAGAAGAATTTTTAACGTCCCGTTTCGTGCCTTCTATTTAAGTTTTATTACTGATCCTAATCAGAGAATATTATGAGTTTTGTTTGTATTTTTCTTCATGCAGAATTTATTTCTAAATTTATCTGATTAATTATATTTTTCCAAATTATTCCAGTTATTGTCACGTAGCGAAAATTAATGTCGGGTTAGAATTTACCAGAGTCTTATTATATGTACACACATATACATACGTGATGTGTAACTTTTAAATAAATTCATAATTAGCTCATAAATCTCTACGCGAGTCAAAAAGTTGTTTAAAGAAAATAAAAAGCAGTCGACGTAAAAACCGTCAACATCTATCGTGAAGTTCAATTTCTAAGTCTCCTCTAGTCCTTTGAACTGCGAAGCTCCGAGATATCTAAGACGAGGAGCAGAAATAAAGCAGGTGTTCTAACGACTCACTCATGCCATCCTCCCACATGAGTCACTGCTAATAATGCCCAATCATTAGGCCAACAACTACCCTGAAGTCCTTACGCGAAAGTTTAAGTAAGCAATGTGGAAATCTCTTGCTGCTATTTTACATGAGCTTGGTGGTTTTACATGTCGCTAACTCTGATCCGACACTGAGCTCTTTCGGAAATGTCATTATAAATAGTATTTATTGACCTTTGCATATTCTGCTCTCGCATCACGAATGCAATCATCAGCTAGTTCGTAGTCCATAATGCTCACGGTCGCCTGGTCCACCGCTTCCCTGTTTCTAAGGATACTTTCTAATGTGAGATTACTGCCTTCATTGCGCCTGACTATCGTTATATTAAATTTTTTCAAAAAGTCTTTTTTGTCCCGTTCAAAGTAATCCCCCTCAGATATAAGACACATATGTCAGCGTTTTTCCAATCCTCGAAATACTTCTGAATCGCGTTTTTTGATATCGCCAATAGCTCCTGTTTCGTTTTACTCTTATCTCCTCACATGTAGCAAAACGATTTCCATTCATTGGTTTTGGAATATGAAAAACTCAGCCGGGGCCATGCCCGGTGAATATGTGGTGCGAGCTGCGAGGAGGAATTGCTCCGCGCAAACGGCGCACAACTTCTAAGCGGCAAGAATTCATGATTAACCACGCCATTCCAGTCGAATAAAACAGTGGGCAAAACCTACACTTTTTTGTTGTGCTCTGGTGACCAGGACTAGCATCGTCATTGGCATCTTTTCGGCCTTCCGGATATCTTCTGATCATACCTCGTATGTAGATTCTTTTGTATGTAGTTATATATTCCGCTGGCGGGTGGCATGAAATCTGCTTGTTCCATATAAATATGGGGCATGCAGTTATTTTGTCCTCCATCCCACGGCATATCACGGCTAAAAATTGTTTATGCGAGATTTTGTTAACAGCGGTCCACCATACGAGAGGCTACCGCCTTCACAACATACCTATGGCCAAACGAAGGTGTGCTAAGCACCTACCAGTTTTCTACTCCGATCGCAGAGGTATGTACATATATAAGTACAAAAGTGATTAACGACAAATACGTATCCTTGCTTAGCTTTAGGTTCTGGCTGATTGAAAAAATGAAAAACCGATTTTTTTAACCTTTCGGTCTTTATTTGAGAAATGAAATCTGTCTCCTTTGGCATGTGTCAATGTGCAACAATCGAGCAATTAAATACACATCGTAGACTTTTTGGAAGGCAACTAACGGTGCAACCGGTTCAACGCGTCCATTAGTTTTGACCTTCAAGAGTTTTTTGCGCGCAAGTAAACCAATGTTAGCGCAAATAAGACCTTCACTTAGGCAGTTACTATTTTGCGAGTATTATATAACGGGTTTTTACTACCGTTACCATTAAGATTGTCCATAAACTTTATTGTAAAATTAAAATATTTTTAGATGCAACAGAGAGCTAACAGTTTTGCGCATAAATAAATCATCGAATGCAATAATTACAAGTAAGGTCCGGCTAAGTTGGGTTGGGTACGAATAGTATAAAATAAATAAATTCTTGCACGTGTTGGATTGCATAAAAAGGAAGAGTTGAGAAGTGGAAGTAACTGTTGCGGACTGCATTCTTTAATCTGCTTCACAGCAGCAATAGCATCTTCGGTGCGCATTGTACGACATTTTTGTGGATGGGCATCATCCAATAGAGTAAACGAACCACCGACTCTGCTGGACTGCTGCCCGACCGAATATTGGACTCAGCTAGCAATGCGATATGCGAATCGAAACATTATTTTAGAGTTCATTAGGAAATAACTAACTAAGCTGAGTTTAAATCAAATAAAAGTTCTCAAAAAGGCCAACTCCGCTTCATTTAAAATCACACGTATGAAAAGCGCCCCTTATTTTGATCCATTTTTCCCTTGGAACTCTAACTCTTAACTCTAACTAATTTTTCTATCTTCCGCTGACTTATGCTCTCTCAAAAACCTGTCCAATGAACAAAGTAAATTTCCTCTTGCAGAAATGCAATCAAATATGTAAGCCAACCAGCAACTAATGTTACCTTTGTTTTTTCTTTACAAACGCAGGCCCTGAACCGCAATGGCGATGCAGTGGTAGTGGCGCTTTGGGGCGCATGCGTGCCGGCGTCTTGTGAAGCGGTCGATATAGCAACTTTTATGGAAAACTACTTACAACGCCCTGTACTCAGTGCCAACGAGACCGCGTGTCAGCTGAGCAGTGTCGGTGCAGCTAATGGTGGGCAATTATATGTCGATGGCGGAATGTTTGCTTACGCGTAAGTCGTTTGCTTAATTGCGCGCGCCTAATGTCATTAATGTTTTCATTTCATTTATATATTACTAATGTTTTATTTTTTTTTTGCTTCACATGTCTATTTATTTATTTATTGTATTTTTTCACACCTCTTTCAGTGTTGTGCTGTTTGTATTTATTTTGTTGGCCACACTGAGCACAGCCTACCATGTCTACTTGATTTATGCGTCTAGAAATGCCGATGATGTGTCGAAACGTGCATTACAACAACAAACATTGACAATTGCATTGCTCTCGTTCTCCGTTATAGGTGGGTGTTGGCGGCCGTAGGAAGACCGTCGTCGATCAAATAATTAAGCTTGCAACTACATATTGTGTAAGTTTTTACTAAATGCTCGATCTTGCATATCTGCAGAGAACACAAAGAAGCTGTTTCAGGCGAGCAAAGATCAGATGGGCCTCAATTCGATTAACGGCATCAAGGCGATTGCGATGTTGCTAATACTGGCGGGCCATGCACTGTCGTTCATCTACAGTAGCCCCACATACAATGAAGCATTTATCGCAGAGGTAAACACCGTGTGCACTTGTGTGGGTGTGTGTTTGTGTGCGCGTTGCTAATTGTATTTAATATTCAAATAAACTGGTTTATTATTTTTTGAATCACTTTGTGTTGTAAACCGTTAACATTTACTAGTTGACTTTTGCAATTACTTAATCTTTCATTTCGTTAGCTTTTTTTTTTGTTTTACTAATTTTTTTTTATTCCATTTCTGTCACTCGCTTATTAACATACACGTATTTATCTCACAATAGAAAACGAAATACCCCACATTTGCATTCCTTTACAACTCGCTGCTGTTTGTGGATACCTTTCTGCTGCTGAGCGGTTTCCTGTTTTGTCGCATTTTGCTAATCGAGCTCGACCGTCGCCGCGGCCGCATAAACCCGTTGATTTTATATGTTGGCCGTTACATTCGCCTGACTCCGGCCTATATGGCTATAATTGGCTTCTACATGACCTGGCTCCCGAGCATTGGCAGTGGCCCATTGTGGCGGGAGCGCATCTCACGTGAGCAGGAGCGCTGTCAGGCATCGTGGTGGCTGAATATACTCTATGTGAATAATTACTTCAACACGGATAAATTTGTGAGTAAATATTTTGTATATAAACGTATGTATGTATGTGCATAAAAATACTTGGTGCTCGCAATAGCCTGGCATTTTAAAGGCCAGGGCTCGAGTGTGGATTCGACCAACATTCAAAGTTAGTGAAAATTAATTCATCTCAGTGAGGTCGCCCAACACCAGCTAATGTCTTCTTCCGCCCTTCTTCAGCTAATCGTTCGGCTAACGGCGAAGGCTTACAGGGCAATGTTGCGTTTTACACTGCGCGACATCAGGTTAACGCCCTCCTAAACATGTTCATTTAATGTGGAATATTATGCAGACTATTCAAGCAGGAGATATACGATTTTCTCAACATAATTTGAATAATTATTTCAAATAAGAGGTGAGATAGAACTTGATTGGATTTGCTACAGGTTTTTATAAAAGTAAAAAGAAAAGTAATAAAAAGTCTTGAAAATTGCGTCATCAAGATATCGCCCCAACAATAATTTAATTATTTTCAGTTCATTTCGTAGAAAAAGTTCAGCTTATAATTTTTTTAAATGGATATTGCAGGCGAATCAATAATGTTTACTAGAAGCTCCCATACTCGATTGGGAAAAGAATCGTACATATTTTATGTAATCTAATGCAAACTTCTGCAAGCACCCACGGCTATATGAGCAGTGTACGGCAAATTTAGATGCAGGACTTTCTATCAACCAGCGTACACATTCCTAGCCAACCATCCCCAGACATTTTCTATAATTTTGAGGTCATTCTAGAACTTTTTCTAAGGAAGTTTTTAAAACTCAATTTTAATCTTAGCATTGCGTACTGCAATGCGGAAGGCCGCTGCTTAAATCATGGTGCGAACAACATTCAAAAGTTTTAGAAAATTAATTGAAACAAAGTTTCTAATTGCGGTCGCCCCACGGCAGGGTATATCAACCCCTCCGAGTGTATTTCTGACATGAAATAAAGCTCCTCATAAAAATCCGTTCAGCCGTTTGGAGGCGCTTAGTATAAGCTGTAGGTACCTCCATTTGTTGAAAAAACATCAAGACGCAAATTCACAAATTGGAGGAGTGGCTCGGCCGGAAATCGCTTTAGCGGTTACAAAGCATCGATTATATATACTATCTTTCGATTTATTTCTTCGCTTTAAAAACTGCAATTCGCAGGTACTATATTAGGATTTGCAGCCCTTTGTTATGACACCTCCAACCCGCCTGTGTAAGTGCTCCAACAAATGCTTCTTTTAGCGCAAATCATGGTAACTATACCCATCTGGCCTCTCCAGATTAAATTTCGTCCCTCCTTCAAATTTCGGCGGAGGAGTCGTGGCGGTTGAAGACCTCTCGGAGTGTAGACCTGCAATATGTTCGGATAATTAAAGTTCTTTCTATAGGCTTCCGTATTATGAAGAAAATTTGCAATGGTTTTGCAGGTTTATGAAAAGGACTGTCATAAAACACTACGATTTTGATTTTTTTTTTCAAATAGAAAAGCAAATAGAAAGATAATGAAAATTGCGTTTAGATGGTGCTAACCTGATGATGAGAAAGGCAAATTAATTTGGAATCTCGTTCATTTTGATACTTTCAGTGCATGTTCCAGTCGTGGTATTTGTCCGTGGACACGCAATTATTCTTTATAGCACCAATTTTCATCTATTTACTATACAAAGCGCGTAAGTGTGGTCAACGTTTGCTGATCGCTGCCGTCGTTTGTACTTCACTCATACCTTTCGTGGTGACGTTCCTGCGTCATTTGGATCCGACTTTACTTGTCTATGCGGAGTGAGTAGTAGAAGAGAATTTGCATATCTTGTTGTTGTTGTTAATTTGAGCGAGTTCTATTTATTTACCCTATTTACAGCGAATTAATTGACTTGGCCAGTAATAATTACTACATTGGCTATTACATAAAAACACATATGAGAGCCTCGGCCTACTTCATTGGTTTGCTGACTGGTTTCATGGTGCATTTGATGCAAGAGAAAGGGTAAATAGCACATAAAACATATTTGTATATAATATATATGTATTTATAAATATATAAACAATTTTTTTATTGCAGTTTGAAACTGAGTGTGACGCTGGTTCGTATCGCCTGGCTGCTTTCCACTCTAGCCGGTGTCGGTGCAATGTTCTCCATATGCCGCTTCTACATAAGTCCATTTACAAATGTCGAAAGCTTCCTCTATGCGGGCTTCCACAAATTAGCTTGGAATTTATCGGTGGCCTGGCTGGTAATGGCGGCCACAACGGGTCATGCCGGTTGGCTGCGTGGCTTCCTGAGTAGTCGCGTTTTTGTGCCGATCAGCCGACTCACCTATTGCGCCTATTTGTCCAATGGCATAGTGGAGTTATATCACTCGTCAACCCTGCGATATGCCAGCTATTGGAATTATGTGAACTTGGTAAATACTATTTTAAGTCTATTAGATTTGCTACACCCAAACATTTTTACTCTTTAAAGCATTTAATTAATATTTTTTCAACTTAGGAAAACGAGTTAATCAGTCACATAGTGGACACCTTCGTGTTGGCCATTGTGCTTTGTTTGCTATTCGAGTCGCCCATACACGCTCTGGAACGAATATTGTTACGGAACGCGGGTCGTACAGAGAAGCGTTCACAATCAGAAGAGAATCAAAGTCCCAGCACCTCAGAGGAACAGGTGGCGTAGTCCAGTACCCCAAGCACCAAAATAAACGATTTTGTTTCAAAATTGTTTTTTTTGAAGTGCTAAATATATGATAAATATATGTACATATATATTATGTAATATATGTAAGTTTAGCTTATAACAGGTTTTGATAGTTAAATGTTAAGAGTATTTTGTGATTTTTATAGCTTTTAAGTTCGATTAACATGATTTTACACATACATACATATGTATGAACACAGATGAATTTTTAAGGAGGGTGAGCATTTATATATTGTATATATACACGTATATATTTATATGTATATTCATAGAAGTACATATATAAATATATATATAAAATAAATATATATATATAATTTTCTATTTTTATAACTGTACATAACAGAGTTGTGCAAACTGAAATAATTTTTTTATGCAATAATTTTTAAAAATATTTTAATCATAGGCTTTATGGGTTCAAAATTTACTAAGCAATTATTTTCAAAACAACCTCAATACAGCTTGAACTAAGCGTAAAAGAAGAAAATGCGCTACAATTCATTCGAATATCAATGCATTTTGCACAACTATATTATATACATACATACATACATATTGAGGAAACTTGCCACATTTCAAAACAGTACATGTTGTTGTAAACACAACAGAACAATTTGGTTAAGGAAGTGTACTTTATTCAATAGTTTTTATTTTATATTTCTTTAAATATTTTATATAAACGTACAATTACATACATATATGAGAGTGTGGAAGAAGAAATACTTTTTGGTAGAATAGGTTTTGAGAAATAAAAATAACTGTACATAATAGTGTATGTTTTACATCTATATGTACATACAAGTATGTGTAAACAATTTTAGTAAATAAATAATGAAACACAAATTGAATTTTAAATAAAAAGTTTAACAAATTTCGGGTTCAAAGTGGGGTTCGTTTAGCCAATAATTGTGGTCGTGTCGTTGGGTATTGATTCAAACTTCAAGAAAAGAAGAGTATAGCGTGGCATTGCTACTCGCTTCTGCTTAACGGTGAGCTGACCATTCATCAATGTTTGCTCAAGTCGTTTTACCAAAAATGTCAACTGCCTGCTGCTTGATGATGTACTAATAATACATAGTTAGTTGTCTTTTTTATAGCAAAATAAATACACCGCTTAATCATCACTGATTCGTCTTCGCCTACGTCTGTAGCTGGTTGAGTCTTCTTGCACGTTCTCGTCTTTTGCTGGTCGTTTCTTAATTTCGTCTTCTTCAGTTATTTCGTTGTCTTTCTCTTTAATAATCGCTTCGTTCTCTGCTTCTGTCTCTTCTTCTGTTTCCGGCACCACCTCTTCCTCTTCCGCTTCCTCATCATCCTCGGCTATTTCGTTATCCATATCGACTTTCTTTTCACTTGCCAAATTTTCGCTGACATCTTCAGTGCTTCCCCCACCCTCTTTACTCTCCTCCTCTCCATTAACCGCTTTAATCTCTTCTCCATCGATTTCCGGGTCAGCATCACCCTCTGGCTCAGAAGTCTCTGCACCCGAACTGAGTTCAGGCTCTATATCATGTTCACTCGCCGCACGCTCTATAAATAAGCGGTTTATAATGATCTTGCGTACATTTTGTGCGGGTACATCGATTAGGAATGCCAACACAATACCGCCAATGATAATTACTCCAATCTCATTAAAGTTGATCTGAAACATGAGCATAAAATGTCTTTACTTTAGCAGTTAACCTCAAATTGTGGCCGATACTCACCAAATCACTCAAGTGATATTTCCGTGGCTCCGTCACGATCGCAGTATTGTACAGCACAACGACATAAGTCACCAGTTGTAGGGGAAAGGTTATGCGTGAAAGAAACAATATTGGTCTGAGGGTGGTGAGAAACCGCAGAATTGAATTCTCATCTCTGGGAAACATAAAAATGCACCATGCCAGTGCTAGGCCAAGTATAAGTGGACACCAAGCAGCATAAGCAGCTGCATCCTTTGCTGCATACACGAAATCTGTATGCATGCCAATCGAAGGTGACCAGAAGCACCAGATCAAACTCACTGCGGCACACAACCAACCTACGGGTATGAGTTCGCTAGCAATCTCGATGACACCAGCTTGTGAACGATGCAGCAGACCGGTGCCGATACCGAGCAGATAGGGTGTAGCTCGTGTTAAAGGCGACGAGAATAACAGGTTGGCCGTGCGATAGAACTTGCTGATGCTGTGGAGTGAGGTGTAAAAGAAAGAGTGTATTTTCACCAGGATATCCTCCATTCAGTACTTACTTCATGCCATGAAACAGTGTCACAGACAAATATTCACTTTGAGTACGCGAATAACGCGCCGCGACAGACATTGCGTGTAGAGCACAATAAATGAAAAACGCTGCGTCTGTATCTGTGTGGTAGAGCCACACGAGCAAGGGTCCCAATATGTAGAGTTGCACCTCGATAGCCAGTTGTATGGTCATGGGTGAGCACTAAAGAGATTACAGTTGTTTTCTCTTTCAAATTAACATAAAACAATATTTTGTATAGTTTTTGCACTCACTGTATCTTCAATGTCAATGGCATTCTGTACGCTGAAGAAGTTCCGCCACATTTGTTGTTCACATAAACGGGTGTTTTGGCCGACTAAATTTGTCCAAAGTGGTCCTGAGCCAAGTAACGGCAAAATGGATGTTTGGAAGAGTAGCACCACATACAAAGTTGGCAGGTACCTGCATATGTAGAAAGATAGGGGTATATACTATGTAGTATAATACAAAATTTGGATAAAGCGCTTTGCGCTCCTCTAGCTCGTATTACGGGGTACCAACGTACCGTGATATTTTCAAGGCCATTCGTTTCAGCAGTTGAATATGCGTTTTTTGCTCTATTTCCTCAGCCAACTGGTAGGCGACCAAAAATCCGCTTATCATTAACAGTACGTCCATGTAGATCATTGGCGATCGGAAAAGGATGCTGTGCGATTGATCCAGTGCTCGCACTAATTTATCACGATTAATAATCGGCAGATGCCCGATCATTATGTACTTGAGACTGACATAGAGAGCAAATGTGGCGCCTAATTTGAGTATGTTGAAGATGGGGAACGCTGTCTCGAAGTGATCGCTGCCGAGTAGTTGGGTAAATGTGCGCTGGGGTGAGAAAGAATTGATGATTTCCAGCAACATGTCCTTGAGGGATTGAAGCACTGAAAATTGTGGATTGAGTTTGATACAGTATTTTATAATTGATATTAATAAATGCCTAGGATTACGAGAAATATAAAGAATGTTCCACTCCGTGGGATTTCTTCAAGACGTTCCAATATGCTTAACTTACGAGCCACCCGACCAAATTAAATGAAACTTTATCTGTGTACGAAACGGTTTTGTTAACCCCTGGAACGACTTTTCACTGAGCACCTCCCATCTTAATTGTAAAAGAAGATTGGCAAGTTTTGTTTTCTGAGATGTAATCTTATAAGCGCAAAAGGGCTCGAATTCTGACCAGTTCAATATGCAAACGGGTCACTCCACTGGTTGGAAAGTCATCTGGACGCACACCGCAATTTGGAGGAAGAGATCGATCGAAACTTGCTTCGGTGTTTAGGTTATGTTGATCTATTGGGTTTTATTTAGACGATATAACCTCCATAGAGCTGTCGGACGCACTACATATGACTAATCTGGACTGCTACACTCTTTACTGTTTCTTTAGTGTGAAGAATGTTGCGGTTCTTTTCCCCAAACTGAAGGAATCGTCTTAGCCCCTCGGCCATTGCTGATAGGACGTCTTGTAGCCTTTCTGAACGAAGTCCTTAGATGTCGAATGCCGGACATCCACAGATTACGTGCACGTTTTGTCTTAAATTAAAAGCATTCGACGCCAAAAGGCCAAGCCCCGTGAACAGTGCTATCAACAGAGTTTGTAAGCATAGCATCATTAGTTTTGCACACAGTTTTCGCGATTCCGTCACAGAGTCTGTTCGCCTGACGAAGCAAGATTACTTATTGCGTCTGCTTCACTTCCATGAATGAAACTGGTAGGTTCATTACTGCATCCAGAACACCAGCCAGCTGTATCATCGTCTTTAATGCCCGTGTGTCCTGGCACCCAGTAAATGTCAACTCTTCTTTTTTTTTTTTTGCAAACAGTGTTTAGTGGCTAAAAACCACCATTTACATATATATTAGGCTTCAGAGACTTCCATAAACTTTATCGCGGAAAAGTTCCCACAGCACTCGCCTACTTTGAATTCTTCTTTTTAATTTTCATTGGCATCGCTTACACGATTATAGCCGAATCAATATTAACTCGCTGTTCATCCCTTCTCTTCGCTGTTTGGCGCCAGTTGGAAATACCAAGTGAAACCAGGTCACTCTTAAACTGGTCCTGCCAACGGAGTGGAGGTCTTCCTCTGCTTTCACCGGTAGGTACTCCATCGAATACTTTCAACGTTGTCAATGCGCAAAGGGCTGTGAATTCGCAAAATTTTTCTCTCGAACACTCCCAGGGGCGACTCGTCAGATGTTGACATCGTCCGCTCTTCCGCGCCATATAGTAGTGCCTACTCAGTGCAAAGTAGCACCTCTTGGTAAGAGAAATTTTGCATGGATTTCAAGGATGACATTCTTATTGGTGTTAATGCTGCTTTGTATTAGACAACAGTAAAGCTCATATCTGTTTCGTGGCAAATATATATTTGCGAAAGCTCCTCAGTCTTCCAGATCACAAAAATTCAACTCTCTTTTCATCAATTTTCGACCCATCCGCAGAAAAAGTCATAACTACCGCATAATAGAAGTGCTGTGTGAAGAAAATCCATGGCAAACAAGGTGAGCTTAACTATGGTTTCGCAGAGAGAGTGAACAATTTTCGGAGGACGGCATCGGTTCTGTATATAAATAAATGGATTGGTCAGTGTGGCAGAAAAACAAATTGCTAGAACTCACGGCCATAAAATGGTGTAGGGCGAAGAGGAAAAAATCTGAAACCTAATCTTCGATACGATTTCTAAATGTTTTTCTTTTTACTTGGTATATTTGAGTTACCTACCACTAGCGGGTGATTCTTCGTGGTCATCGCCAGTGCTTAATTCATTTGCTATCTCGGTATCTTCTGTTTGCTCGGCTTCTTTTGTCGGCTCAGCACTCGTGTCTTCGGTAGTCTCGGCGCTTACTTCACTTTGACCAGTCGTATCTTCCTCAGCCTTTTTAAACTTGACAACCAGCCAATCCTTTATATTATGACAGTATTTATAAAGTAATGAGCCAAAGCATAAGACCGTGAGTCCAAAAAAGCAAAAACTGGAAACAAAATAAAAAATAGTTAGCTCAGTTAAGAGTAACTCCAAAAGACACCTACATTGTCATGGCGAAATTTGTATCCTTTTTTATTAATTTCAGAAGCTTAACATTGGTACGCGTATAGCAGTCGTCATCATCGACCTCCACGCGGAACTCTACGCCAGTCTTATTGTACGCTCGTAGATTCATTTCGATCATTTGTTTAACGACGTCGCCTTTACACAGATGCGGGATGCATACACCCCAGTTGGCGATGCTGTAGCGTGGAACAAAATGGTACGGCTGTACGAAAGGAAATCAGAAAAATATCGAAATTATTTATTGTGCGGATTTGCGCACGAACTTACGTTTCCGAAATGACTACCCCAAAGTCCGCGTCCTTGTGCGAAATGTAAAGGCGCCCTGAGATCCTTATTTGAAGTCTGCATTTCAATGTGGGCTAGGCAATATTTACCACGAACGCGTATCGGATTTTTCGGTGTCACTTTTACCACAGTTTTCACTTGCATGCACTGATCGAAGTCGCCGAATTGATTGTTGTTACCGCGCAAAATGCCCGACGTGATTTTACCAGTGGCATCTAACACTAAAAGAATGAGGAATTTTTAAAGCACTTTGTAAATAGCTGAGTGTGTAAACATACTCTGTAAGGTCCACAGTTTGTTGCCGCGTAGTTGTCGATGAAAAATCTGCAACTGCTGCCTACACTCGGTATCTGCGGCATGGTTTGGACTAGCTACAAAACTGGGTAGAGTATGCAACACAGATTCAAAGTTTTCCTGCGACATTTCCGACGGCTCTTCTTGCGAATCGGCATGCTCTGCCGAAGCAGCAGGTGGTTTGGTATCTCTCGGCATGCGGATGTGCTTCTCTGGTTTTCCTATTGGAAAGAAACTATTGAACGGCCAACGGTTGAGATAAGACAACAAAGTGTCTGCATCTGCATTTTCAGCCTTTGCTACTTTCTTAGTCTCGGCACGTTCACCTCGCTCACTCAACCATTTCAACCAGTCTATTATACCATTGGAGTGCTCATTTTTCTCTGCGGACTTGTCTTCGTCACTTGTTGATTTCTGTTGGCGTTCTTGTGATTTCCCACTTTCGCTACCGCCACCACCAAAGAGATTACCAAACAATGATCCGAAAAATGAAGACGACTCTTCTTCACTTGTATCTCTTTTGCCATTGACCGAGTCTCTCTGTTTTTTCTTAGATGTTGGTTTCTCCCCACTCGCCTTTTTCGAGTTGCCAGTGCGTCGCTCCTTGTGCGCCGTACGCGCTCGCTTGAAGGGCAATTCATCTGATTCAGTCATTTGCTCGCTGTCGTCGTCTGTGGGCTTGCTCGTCGTGTCGTCGTCATCCTCTCTCGTTTTGCTGCCATCATATTTGTCATCTGCGACGATTTCGTTGCTTCCACGCTCATCATCATTCTCCTCATCGTCGATGTATACGCGTTCGATTTTGTGAAATTTAAATTTCTTTTCAAAGGGACGCTTACCTAAGGGCTTTATGGCGTCCGCGGAGCGTGCTACATCACCATCCTTGCCATCGCTACCGAAATCGAATAGCTCGTAAGAAGTATGTGGAAAAACGAAAAGCACAAAGAGCAAACAGATGCATATTTTTTTCACACTGAAAGTCTCTGTGATCAAAGGAACGGTGAATGGACCGCGTCCATGACCGTTATGCCCATACATATTTTGATATAAACGAAATGTCTGCTTTTAGTGGCGCTAACACGATCATTTACCAGACGTTATTTGGCAGTTAACTTTGTATAATGGATTCAATAATCACTTACCCTATTACATACATACATATGTACACATATAAATTTAAAATTATGTTTGTGTGTGTATGTAAAAATATAAGGTTAAGGAAAATATTATAATTCCAAACTTTCTCTGTAGCCTTGCAGCTGCAATAACTGTTTTCCACCGATTTTGTATCAAATTATTTTATATTTTAGCTATGATCGAGCAAATAAAACACTTCTATTATATCCCAGGAAAAGACAGCTTATTTGTGTTGCTCGTTCACTGGCAAAATTTTCTAAAAATATGCACAAATTCGGTTTGTTGTATTGAAAATATCGTTGTGTAGGCTTTTTGCTCGCTGCTACGTGGCGTTCGATTCGAAATATCTGAAGAGACTGAGCACAACAGCGCTTGTCGTCGAAAACGCATTTTTGAATTTTGCTATATCTCACATTGATTTTCATAACGCTGCCTCCGAGTCAATGCCTAAATTGTTTATGCCCTCATAATTTGTTTACATCTTTCACGAGTTGAAGAATTTGCATATGATGCAAAATGAGAGCGTCTTGTTCGTTTTGATTTTTCCCGTCCGAAGAATTTATACCAAATAATACCAGAATAGATTTTTTGCTACTCTTCTTTAGCAAGAGCTTTTTCGCTCAATACACCCTTTAAAACATAGTTTAAGTAGTTTTACCTATAAAAAAAAAAGTTAAGCTAACTTTCGAAATTACCATCTAAAAAGTTCTAAACAGTTCGGTCAAATTGGAATTCCGAGATGGTCTAAATGGGTACCACATAGTAAAGTTAAAACCTCCATAATTTCACCCAAATATTAATATTTTAATTTCTTAGTTTTCAAAACACATTCAGGTAACGTCTCCAGTTATTTAAAGCATGTTTATTAAAATGCAGTCAAAATGTTTGAAAAAATTGAAATAACGGAAAAGTAATACGGAGCTCAGAAAAACCTGCAAATTTAAATTATAAAAAAACTCTTGAAATCAAAAACTATGTCTAAGTATTAAAACAAGTCATATCAATAATGAATAAAAACGTACCATCATAAGTTGCACAGTACATATCACTAGCAAAGAACAATTTACATACATATGTATATACACTCATAACTAAATGCAATAAATATAACTTAAAATAAGTACACACCAAATTCAATAATTTATAAACTTCAAGCTCTCACATATAGTATTTTAAATAAAGATAATAACGAACGAATGAAAAAAAATGAATTAGTGCCTTTGCTTTGAAGGTAGTCCCATAAGAGAAGCATAACATTTTAATATAGTTAAATTGTTGCTGCAGATGTATGCGGCATTTGCGACATAATTGTCTTTGCTTGCGTATGTGTGGGATTTTTTATTGATTTTGCATATGAACAACCCGTGATCCAAGTCGGAGAATATTGAAAATTTTGAGACGGACGCAAGTGATGTACACTTCCATATTGTACATGATTGAGTACATGATGAACCAAATGTCGTGATTGTGTGAGAGCAATTGGCAAGAGTGCTAGTGAAACGAAACGTAGTCCTTCATAGCCACTGTCGAATATCGATACGGGGTAGGCAATATATGGACGACTGGGTAAGACTGTATTTGTACCGGTTGCTATGTAGCATAAAGCCAGTACTATTTGGGTATCGTTTAGATTATATTTTAGCGGCGGCTTATTGCGATAATTTGGTATAATGGTTCCGAACATACGATATCCCGAAACCAACAAATTTGGTAAATAAGCAGCAGTAATTGACGCTTGAAAACTCTCAAAATATGCTTGGAGTAAATTATCCTCATCGATGCTAGCCAAACTTGCAACAGCCCAGCTCAAATCAATGATTTCGTTTAAATCGAAGCTTAGGTACTTCGGTACTTGATGGGCGGCGATAAATCCCACTGCTTGTGTAACGTGTGTCACCATCCCCACTAGAAATATTCAAATTAATTTTATTGAAAATTTGATAGATTTGTAAACATAACTCACAAAGATGTGCACTGTCTTTTTCTACAAAGAATACGTAGTTGTAATCAGGAAAAGTACCAATGGTCTCCAAGAGTACGCAGACGACTTCACACATGCGCGAATGAATGTCGACAAGCTCATGCGATTGCAGAGCACAAAAAACTGCACGCGCCACGCCATTAGCATTACGCATCATCACAACGCCATATTGGAGTCCTTCTTGTTCGTAATAAGTACCAAAAATGATAATTGGTATTTGCCAGCAATTGGCTATGCATTTTAGCCGCAACATAGCATCAAAGTCTGTTCGGCACATGCGATGCAGCGATTGTCTATTTCAAAGAAATTTTAATATTAAATACCAAATGAATCCTCGTTTCCGATGGGATAGATCTCACATGAAACGAGAGCAACTATTTATTTATTATAAAGCAATTTAACCGAAATTTAATGACACTAAATAAATGTATTTTTTTGAAAAATGTAAAAAGTTTATGTATATTAAAAACACTTACTGCTCTGATGGTTTAGCCCATTCGATATCAAGGCGCTGTCCACACAAAAGTGTGCCTTGTAATTGCTGTAGGCATTTCTCAGCCGCCTCACGATTTGTGAAATCTAAAAATGCCGTTGTTCGTACCTTTGTAATTTTACGAACCTCCTGTCTTGGCACGCATTTAACCAGCGAATCCATAATGTCACGATTATTGACGCAGAGATCCACATTCCGCACAAACAGAGTTTTATTCTGCGAAAGGAAATTACATAATATCTATGTGTTAGAAAACAGCAGAAAGAATTACGTATACTAAAAATTATAATTACCGATTTCGACATATCAGTACTGCGTTCAGTGTTGGCCCACACAACTTTCAAATCACGGTCCCACAAACGAATCACTCCTGGTGTTGTGCTTTTCTTTGCTTCTAATGCTTCCAAGTGGGTGGCAAACTGTACGAAGACACTGCCCCGATTTTTCTGCTCATTACGGCTAGCTGTATTCAATATAATTTGAAACGATCCGTTAGAAATTTTCTGTTTCGCATCATAGCACACATTACTATCGGCAGTTTCTGCATAACACATTTTTGGTGCTGAACTGGTACGACGCGAGTATATACGTTGCATGGTTGGAAAGACTGCTCGTAACTTTTCTTCAATTTCCTTTTCTTCCAAATGTTTCGGTATATTGCTGATAAATAGACAGCATTTCTCGTACGAGTGCAAAATCTCCAATTTGCGTTTAGGTGTAATATAAAAATGACTTAGCACTTCCATTGCGCAGTCAGCTTCATCTTCTGTAGTGTACTTGACGTATGCGTAACCTCGGTATGCCTTGAAACAATTCATGTTACAACAAAAACATACATGTAAATTATTCGTTTCCTGTTACCCATTTAATTTTTGACCTTAATCAAAGGAAAAACTAAAAAATCGTAACCAATTCATAGCAACTCAAATCAAAAATTTATACAACACTCGCTGTCAAGAGTTCATGACTTTTACACTTCCATACATACCTACACAGAATTTTACAAGACCTTTAAATTTTTTCCCCAACATGAAAGTTGGACAAACTTTCCCTTGATCAACTAATGGAATATCCTACCTGGTTAAAATCCATTGGTAAGCGTATTTCATATATACGTCCAAATCGTAAAAACGGTTGTATTAAACTTTGTTCATTTAGATCTCTCGGTATACGACGCACAAAGAGCTCACAAGCACTTGAAGGTGGGGGCCCTTGCCAACCCTCAGGTGGGCCGAGAACTTTGCGACCATTCATTTGCATTAGTGTAAAAGACGGCTCTGGTTGGTACTGATTGATGGATGTTTGTAAAGGTGGGCTAGAAACCGGTGGAGTATAATTGCCGCTACTTAGGCAATCTGACGAAACCGGCGATGGCAAACTATATGCAAAACTTGTTGTTAGTCCCATTACTTGATTAACGCCATTGGCTGTGGTGTATTCCATTTCGCAGAAATTGTAGCTATGCTAAACAAACTGAATAAATGTATTCTCTATATTTTATTGCGAAATTAACTTAAAATCACATACTTTATTCAAACCAAAGTTTTTTAAACCGTAAATTTCCGTTGATGTAATGCTGTGAATACTATTTGAGACTCATCAAGATTTCCCGTTAACTAGCAGCGTTGCCAGGAGAAAAACTTCGAAGGAAAATTCAAAATATCCCTAACGTTACGTGACGTTAACAAATCAAATTTGTATAAGTATTTGTGAAATGATCTAATTGATTTGTTAATAGATGGTATTTGAAATTAATATAAATTCATTGTATATATCTTTTCACTTTATATAAAGCTTAATTATAATTTGTATTCCTAATATTTGTGCATTTACATTTCACGAAAATATAAAAAATGCTATTTTTGTTGCACTAAAAAATATTTTGTAATCTTAATGTATTAAGGCATTCGTTATTGCGTCCTTAGGCCACAGCATTTTATTTTTTATCTTCGAACGTAGACGATCGCAATTAGAAAAACTAATGTTACGTCCTTTTAATAGAAACCTCTCTTCTTCAAATTAGATTAAGTCGTGAGATATCTCTTGTACGTAGAATGTTTTTCTTATCGTCGCGTGTCGACAACTCTACTAATCACTTACCGCAAGCAAATAGAAGTGCGTAATTTTCACCGTAAAAACAAATTTTCGCTGTGAAGTCGAAATTATTTTGAAGTGAAATGTTATTATTTGGTTTAAATACTCTTGTTGAATAAAATATTTAAATACAAAATGTCTGACTTATCTACGTTGTCCAGTTGTGATTCTCCGTCGAATCGCTGGTTGTCTGGAGACTCTTCGTCGCCATCTTCATCTTTGGCGTCATATTCGCCTAATCGCAATTCCTTCACCGCTGAAGAGCTTTTTGAAAAGGCTGCGTCTTTGCCTGCGATATTAGAAAATGGAAGAAAAGTATTTGGACCGCCGGTAGAATTTGTAGGTGTGCGTCCTTCTTATGTTTGTGAATTGTATGTGGCTAATTTGCCCAAATCTCTGGATGAAGTGCGTCTCCTTGCTTGGTTGCATCGCTGTGGCGTAGTTTATGAAATGCGCCTAATGATGGAATCATTCAGTTTAAGTCGTGGCTATGCATTTGTTCGTTACACGCAGGAGAGAGAAGCATTGATTGCGTATGAGTTATTAAAATGTGTATATGTGGATGGTGAACGGTTGAGTGTTTATCGCTCACAAGGCAAGAACCGCCTCTATATTAGTAACATTCCAAAACGGTTGTCTTTGCCGTCCTTAGAAGCCGGTTTCAAAAAAGCTTTTCGCAACATGGAGCGTTGCACAGCGCATGCAGCAACGGCGGCTGAATCGGAGAAAGGAGATCTAAACCGTGGTTTTGCCTTTATCGAATTTTACGATCACGAAACAGCATTAGAGGCAAAGAAGAAAACCACACCAGGACGCATGCGCATGTGGGGTAATGACCTGAAAGTGCAGTGGGCAAAACCGAAATTGCTGCATTTCCAATACGGGTACGGAGAAGAGCAAGAGGTTAGTCGGAATTGCGAATTATATACTCAAATGCATATTTAATTATCTATTATTATTTTTTTTTTGTTAAGAAAACTCTATCCATGGAACAGGGGACGAGGTACGTGTGTAAATTTATAATTTTTTTTATTATATATTTCTGTGCTTATATTTATATTTTTGGCACAAGTTCTACGCCTAAGGGAAAATGTTCGTTTTATTATGATAAATTAAGCACTGTTAATCCTGAATTAGTTTTATTAAAAAGAAAATGTTGGACATTTGTTCGTAAGCTTTAAATACTATTATAAACTCCATAAGAATAAAAAAAATTGACTCCGTCATGAGAATAATGTTCTCTTAGCTGTTGCGCTTGTCGGATTTCGGATCAAGCATACCTTTATTTTTTTACAAAAAAACGCTCGATATTATTTTTCAATTGCTTCACAGTGTACCCAATGACTTTTGTTCTAAATTGCGTTTATTTTGCTTGGCAAATAATTGGTGTGTTCCAGTGGTCGTTTATGGACGTTGTCTTTATGGAAGTGGCATTCAATATGGTGGTGTAAGTAAATGTATTTACATATATACATTTTCAATTGAAACTTACACAATAATTTATTTAGATTTTGTTGAAAGAGCCCACAACTGGTCAGTATTCTTGCATGTTGATGGAAATCTGTGTCGAACGCGATATACAAGATGTGCATGTTGCAATGTGCGAAGTTGCTATACAGTTAATTGAACGGAATAACGGTTTTCCGAATTATCATTATATTTTACGAATATTGAATGGATTTCGAGCAGAAATAGGCAAGGATTACTGTATTTGAGTTAAAATTTTATGTTAACAACAAAAATATTTTGCAGTGTTCAGTTGCGCCAACTATTTCGATATATCGATGCAAGCAAGACAAAGCGGCATGAGTTTGGTCAGTTCAACGTCTATAGTGGAATTAGCCTTGGCTTTTCAGGTTTTAGCTCAATACTCGTCGGAATATATTTTGAATCAGTATAAAAGAAGTTTTCTGGTTTTACAAAACTGCTTTTGGCTTACAAAAGAATCCAATAAAGTGCGTTTTTACTGCATCTTTCCTAAATTTCGCAACAATCTGCCACTTGGTTTTGGATTTAACGACACCGAAATAACACTAATTCTTACTGAAACTAACATAGTAGAGAGAGTGAGCTCCGAACGAAAATCCGTGGAGGATGCTAATATGCAGAACTTTAACGGTGCAGATGGGTTGCAACGTGGTATATCATTGAAATCGCAACGTACGCGTAATGCTGATGGTTATACGCTTCGTTATGTTAGTTTAACGAAATTAGAAAATCGCGAATTTTACCATCCAGAGCAACGAATTAATGTCCCACCAATTTGGATAACAGGGCATTCTTATCAAAAGTCGATTTTTAAATAGATTTATTTTTATAAACTTTCGCAAATTATATTACTATTATTATTATGTGTTTGAAAGTGAATTAACTTTTTTATAAAAAACGTACAAATATTTACTTATTGTGTGAATAAAAACATTTATTTAGTGAGACGACTAACTTATAAGGTTTATAGAAAAGATATAAAGTCCATCTGAATAGTAAACGCTGATTATGTTTGAATTTTATAATAATGTAAAAGTATTATTTTGAGAAGACGGTATTAATATTAATAAGCTTATGCGGATTGTACTGATATGTACAATATATTGAATGGAATTGCAACAATTTTTACTTACCCTTTTCTGTATTTCAAAAAATAAAATGTAAGTTTAATTTTTCCAAAAAAAGAAATTTATTGATTTTTATTTATATATTCCTTAGGAGATTATTTTCAAATTTGCAAATTTAATGTATATGTACAATATTAGTATTTTTTACTCTCAAACTTTTTTTATTTGCCAAATTTTGCGTTTTTCTAGTGTCTACTATTACGAGTATTTTCATCTTGGTAAATAGAAGTCTTTTTAGGCTTAGAATAAATGAGTTAAATCTAAAGCAACCGAAATACAATAGTTTAGTTTGGTTTCCAAAAACTATAAAGTGTTTGCGCCTGAAGGAGCTGCAATGCGGAGCCAATGCATTAGCAAATCCATTAACGCGTTGACGGAAAACGAAGAAGAGGCACATGGAGTATATTACAGACTCTAATTTAATTAAGTTTCATGCATATTTGAATGAAAGGAAAAGAGACCAAAATTAGAATATAAATTTTCATTTATTCTCGCTGAAAAATTTTCCCACTTCTTTTCTTCCTGCGTTACTATTTAAATACGTACTAACATTAAAATTGAATCAAATTCCTCAGTGCTTGCAGTGCATTGTTAAGTTTTCATTTTAATTATGCTTCTTTAGTTTGCTTTAATAAGATTTCTTTTCACTTATATTTTTATGATTTTTTTTTCTTAAATTTTAATAGAAATATATATGTATGTATGTAGGTATATTATATGTAAATAGTATGTACAAGCAGCAACAAACATATTATTAGTAACTAGAGTCTAATTCGATTTACTTTTTCGTTCATATATTTTGAAAAATTGTCTCAATTTCGGCTGTCAGACTTGAGTTGTTTTTGTTTTTTTAGTAAAAAAGGTGCTTGAAATCGAGATCACTGACACAATTATAATCTACCATCAATACATTATAAATGAATTTGTGTATTTATATACAAGTGTGCTTATTAAGTGTTGAGAATATTTTTAATTGGAAATATTTAAAAGTTCAATATTCGAAAATTTATGTTTTCTACTGCTTAAACTGCTAAAATAAAATTAAAAAAATTGAAATGAAAAGAAATTTAATTAAAAGAAATAAAATAAAATAATATACAACAAAATCAAGTAAAAAAAAAATACAATTAAAATTAAAAACAAAGAAACGTAAAAACTAAACTTAAATTTATTCACACTAAAAAAAGTTAAATACTTCAAAACTATAAAATTAAAAAAAAAAAAACAATTAAATAAGAACAATTTATTGAAAACAAATAACTACGTTCTATACAATATTTACAATACAGAGTGGAGTGTATGAGTCGGCTTGTTTGACTAGGTTTTGGCGATAATGCAGTTTAGTAGTTTATGCAGAATTGATTATCATCTCTTTACGTCGTTTATATCATTATCTGATTTTTAGTTTTGAAAGTGCAAATATAAATAAAGGAAAATAACAAACTTTTCATTGTAGGGTTTTTATGAAAAATCAACTACAGTTGTTAGTTAGTGAATTCTTCAATGGAAAATTCTTATATTTGTTTTATTTACATAATAATCTTAATATCTAAAACAAATTGTTGCTCTTCATATACATATATTTTACAGAAAAAAATTTAAAATGACCAAAAAATAGTGGAATTTATACGATATTCATAAACTAATGTTAGTTCTTATACAACTAGGAATCATAAGACTTTCGTTTCAAGTTTTTAATTAATTATTCTAAATTTTAATGTTTCCTACGTGCAAATATAGTTCAAATTGTCGCGTCTCTTGCCAGTTTTAATGACTCTTATGATCTTAAGTTATTTTAGCGTGCGAAAATGAGCTTAAACCGTTCACAAAATTCTTTTTCGTCTATTTCGTGTTATCACAACTTTAATCAGTTGCGATTATAAAGTAATTGGTTTCTTTTGCGACTTAAAATGTTTGCAGACAGAAAGAATATTGTTGGCATTTATATGTTCTTTCTGACATAATTTTAATTACATGTACATGACATTATCAATATGTGAATATGTACAATAGTAATTAATTTTGTTTAAAATATACATTTATCTTCCAACGTTTTGGCCAAGTGCGCACACACTTCATCGAAAATTTTGACAACTTCCTTTATTTCAAGTTTTATTATTAGTGAATTAAATTAATTTTTGCAAATTGTTTATAATTGATTTGTTTTTTACGATTCTGTTTAAAACTTTTTTTTAATTCGTATAAGTTAAGTGTAGAAAATGACGTTTTATTGTTGAAAAAATTACTTAATTGCTTATAATGCAACAACAAAGGGAATTCTGTGCAAGAGCTAATAATTGTGTAACACCATACCAATCTTCGGATGGGTGTGAATGTGTGCAAGCATTTAAGTGTTTACACGTGTGGATTGTCAGTTGCTTTTTTAGTGTTTCAATTGCTTAATTTTATATATTTTTTAGTATAATAATATGTCTTAATAGTAATAAACTAATTAACTCCTTTTTCAGTTCACCAATATTTCAAATATGCTTTGACTTAAAAAGGTTCTTCAATTAAATTTAAAGTTAAGACTAATTATTTACTTACTTATACATATATATTTATGTATTTATTTATAATATTACTTTTCGCAGACAATTTATTGCAGATTTAAGGGGCTTATATAAAAATGCAATAAATTGTGTGTTCCTTAAATTGTCAATGAAATCCAAAACATAAATACCATCATGTGTGTGTATGTTTTTGTATGATTTTTCTTTAGTTTTCATTCTTATCATATTTGTATGTTGAAGTTCTTTTTCTGCAGTGCATACAAACACGATAAGAAGGACCTAAACTACATATGTATGTATATATATGTATGATTTCTTTGTCTCAAATATACATACACGTATAATGCAAACATACATATAATAAATTATTATTATTTTACTGAATTTCAATTAATTGACTCGTTTGTTTCTACTACTACTACTAATCTCAACGACTAAATTAGTTATTCCTATTTATTTAAATGTTAGTGAGAACTGAATTAATATAACATTTTTTGATTGTATTTTCTTGTTGCCTTTAGTATTTTGAAATTGCGAAAATCTGCTTATTTCTTAGAATCTAGTTTTTTTTTATTTCAAGTTCAAATTAATTTAATTTATATTAATTAAAATAATTTTATTTGTTGGTGCTTTATGACTTTAAAAATAATATAATTAAAATAGAAATTAAAACAAATTTCAAAAATACTTTTTCAAAACATTTCAAAGATAAAGTTACAAAAAGTACCAAAAAGTACCAAAAAGTACCAAAAAGTACCAAAAAGTACTATTTGGCGATCATTCATTTTTGATCAAATTAACGCAAATAAGATTCCAAACTTATGCTACAATTCAAGCAGCAATTTTGCACACATATTCTTATATTTCGCTTTGGTGGCATAGTTTAAGGGGCACTATATGTCGGACTGACTATTAAATTAATTATTATTGCGTTGAGTTTATTATGTGTCCAACTCAAAAGAATTGAAGGAAAAATCTGAAGAAAAACTATATGAAAAAATTAAATAAAAAAGTTGAAAGGCATAAGGAAGTGAAAAAGAAAATAAAAAACATCAAAAAAAAAAAATAGGAATATAAAAAAAAATTTTTAAATATTTAAAACTGTTGAAAATATGAAAAATATTAAAAAAGTTAAAAAAACATGATAAAGAAAAATTAAATAAAAAAATTAAAAAAAAAAAAATTAAAAAAAAAATAAATATAAAAAAAATTAAAAATATATAATATAAGATAAAAATTAATAATATATAAGATATAAAAGTAAATATATATATAAAAAATAAAAAAATTGAAAACAAATATATAATTGGCGCTTTGTAACCGCTGAAGCGATTTTTTGGCCGAGCTCCTCTTCTTTTCCTACAAATGGAGGGATCTACACATCTACCCTGCCAAAGGGCGACCGCAATTAGAAAATTTAACTTTTTTTTTTTTTTTGGTTCAAATTAATTTTCTATAAATTTTGGATGTTCGTGGCATCGGGGTATAAAAATATATGTAATAAGAAAATATAAAAAAAAATAAAAAATTGCTAACTCATTTTCAGCTTAGGCAAGCAGCCAAAACTTAAACGAAACTCAGACGTAAGAAAATAAACAAAACAAGTGTAGTATTTTGCATGTGTTTTTTATTTATTTCTAAATAGTATATTTATTTAAGCAATTGGAAACTAGAAAGGGAAGTAAATTGTTGTTACTTCATATGTTTTTATGAATAAAGTTCGTTGAGTATTTCTAATTTTTATACATACATACGTATGTACTTAAAGTATTAAATATCAGCAGTATGTCACACCTGTGTATGGATGTATGGATCGGAGTGTGTGTGTATGTGTGTGTATGCTTAAATGCTAAATTTTATAGTGGATAAAACTTTTCCTTTTATTACAATTACATTTTTCACTTAATAATTATTAGGATTTTATTCGATTTTTTTTTTGGATTATTTCGCAAAAATAATTACGACTTTCCTTTTAAGTTAAATTACATTTAATGTACTTGTGTGTAAGTGTGTTTCTAAATTTAATTTTTCATTGCCAACAAATTTTTCGATAACTCCTTTTTCTAACTGTACTTCTTTTCATGCCTACCAATGCATTCCTATTAATGCTCATATCACAATTGAATTTTTCTTCGCTACGCGTTTAGTAGCTAAATTTTTTTTGATGTAAGACTAAATGTTTTTACAAATTTTATTGATTTATTTTTTTTTTCGATTTACTGTATTAAATGTGGCTTTAGCTATTAAAAACTAACTCTTGTATAAGTGTAATTCACAATAAATACGTAAATACATAATTACAAAATTATTTTATATTTCGAAAATTGCTCAATTACTTGTGATTCCATGTGTTTATATGCGTTTGAATGTGTGTGTGTGCAAGTTTTTAGGTTATATTTGTTTAATCAAAGGTAAATTTCTTATTAATTATGCCAAAAAGATGTTGTTGAATTAATTATTATTATTTTTATTTGTTTCTTAAGTGAATACTCCTTTAAATTGCTCGGTATAACGTTTTTTTAATTAATTTAGTTAATATATAATATAAAGAAAATATATCTGTATGTATTCTTAACTTAGCGTCCATTGTTCTTAGTGCCTACTTAGAAGGTTTCCATCTAATGTCTAACTCTTAAACATATGCATATTCTAAATTTTTTGGTAAATATTTATATTTTTCACCTTCTTGCATTTTATTGGTGCCTACATTTAGGCGCCGCCTTACTGTCGTTGCATTAGGAGAAAACGTTCTTGACCTTAATATTTATGGAATGTTTGCATGTCACATTTAATGTTTTTAATTTTTTATTTTACATTTGTTTGTTATTGTTTGTCGATATCATTCGTAGGCAGAATGGAAAAAATAAGAAAAAGAAAAAATTTATTAGTGTAATTAAAATTAAAATTTAATAAAAACAGTTTTTGTCGCATGATTATAGCTAACATTTTACAAAAAAAAAATTACAAAATACATACATAAAATACCGCAAAAGATAATACATTCAAAAGTGATAAATCGCAAAAAGTAAAAACTATAAAATTAACAAACACATATTTCTCAACAAAATTAAATATAAATTAAAGCTAAAAAAATAAAGTGAAAAGTATTCAACAACCAAAGAGATTTACATATACACATATCTTAACTAACTTATATAAATAAATATATGTATGTATGTGTGCTTATGCATGTAATATTTTCTAAGCCATTCAATCAGTTAAATTTCATATTTTTGTTGCTGTTTTCTTTGCAGTTTCTTGATCCGCTTTTCCAAGACACTGCATTCCACGCAATTCAATAATTGCTTTTGCTTATCATATTTGTATATGTATTTACATACACTTCGATTTAGCTATGGCATGTTGTGGGGACTTTTGAGAATGGCATGTAAATATGTATGTATGTGTATAACTGCCGCTGTTCACTAGCTTTCATCTACTATGTATGCTGTTTGTATGTGTGTACTATGTACTACTGCATGGTAGCCTAAGGAGATGCTCAATTATTGTGTTTGCTGTTGTTGTTGCTGCATTTTACTGCTGCGTTTCTTTGCTAATACTGTTGTTGTATGTATTGTAGCACAAAGCATCTTACTCTCCAAATACGTCGCAATCTCTGTCCAATTCTTATTGAAGGCCACCATCATGGGTGTATTGCCGCAGAGATCGCGCGCTTGTAGATTGGCGCCAGCAGCCACAAGCATCACACAAATGTCGCGTCGATTGTTTTCGGCAGCGGTGTGTAGTGCGGTTTGTCCCCTGGTTGAATAAGAAGAAGAAGATACATAGATTAATAGACTTAGAGTATCAAGGATATGTTATTATTAAATTTATCGTTAGAGAAACAAAGAGTTAAATTAAATGTTCAAATGCGTGCTTCAAAAGCTGCTTTGAGTGTGTTGATAACAACAGTTAGCTCGTACAAGAAACCCTTTTTAGCGTCACCTACCAGCCAAACTAAATTAAAAACGGCTACAGCGAAAGAATTTTTTTTAAACCTAAACATAACACAATCTCTCAACGGTAACGGTTATAAAAAACGGTCTATTCGAACAATTTTTTTATTTTACCATCTTCAATAAAAAAGAAAAAAAAATGTAATTTTCAAAGCTAAACAGCAGAGGAAAAGGATGCGTCTGCGCTGACAGTAGGATTCCCAAACATTATTTCTGAAAAAATCGTTTGAATGGGGGCTATATGATAAGTCTTTCCGTTTCGATAATTTTCGGTGGGGTAGACACCGCTTACTCGATTACACCCAACTTAACAACAACGCACCAGGTCTCCACTTGGTCTTTTGAATTGGGTGGAGGTCTACTTCTATCGTTGCTACCATCGCTGCATCAAACACTTCCAAAGCTGGAGCATTCTTATCCATTTGGATCATTAATTCGCTGAACTATGTCCATGTCGCCGTATATCTCGTACAACTTATTCCTCCATCGTCTGCGGTAATCGACGTTTTCAATGCGCAGAGGACCATAAATCTGTCTTGGATTACAAGGTGTATTAAGTCTAGCACCAATATAGGCGAAAAAATCTACTACTTCAAAGTTTTGACTATCAACGGTGACGCGAGAGTCGAATCGCGAATGTGATTACTGTTTGTTTGATGACAGATGATATTTCATATTTCCCCGTTTACTACCCATACGCTTCGCTTCCTTATCCAGTCTGTAGAAAGCAGAACTCACGGCACGGTTGCTGAGGCCGATAATTATTGGATGAGTGCATAAATTCGTGCCCGATTTCAAATGCAAACTAAAATTGAAATTTTTTGAAGAAAACGCTTTTTTTAATCAATTATGTATTCGACATCATGTTCGGCAATCCGCTCCCAACGTTCAACCAATTTACGGATGCCTGATTCATAGAAAAAGGTGTCAAGGTGGTATTTGACGTCTTCCACATTTTTAAATTTTTTTCCATTCAAATTGTTCTGCAGCGATCGAAACAAATTATAATCAGAAGGTGCAATGTCGGGTGAATATGGGGGATGCGGCATGATTTCCCAATTCATCTCCTTCAGTTTGGCCAGGGTCGGTTTTGCAACATGTGGTTAATATCTCCAGAACGAGATTTCGCGAGCCATTTCTTTACTGTGCGCAGTGCTGGAACACGGTCTAAATAAACATCGCGAATATCTTTAGTTGCAGCGCCTACTGTTTTTCTTTTGCGGAATTCGTATGACATAATATGACGCATATGATCTTTTTCGTTGTCCATCTTCCATGCGTCTTTTCACTAAGCAACTCAAACCAAAATGAAGTTATTTTATGCTTGATTTACAGTTTGGAATGTCACCTTTCCAACGATAAATAATATGTATATATATTTCTTTCACGAGCGCCACTCTCAAACGATTCGAACGGCATCCAGCGGAATCGGGCATGAACTTATGCACTCATCCAATACATTATCTGCGAGCCAGCTACTTTCTCTATTCAGCTCGGTACAATAAATTAAAGAAATCACTCGGAGAGTTCATTAACGATGCTCACGGAGCTTTTGGCGTTGCTTAACGTCAGCTCACACAGCTGTATAAGTTTTACGTGGCTACCAAAGTCAGACATAGCAGCTGTTTTTCGAGCTGTTGAAGAGGTTGTGTCCTTTGCAAGACTTCGCGCATGGTGATTATCTAGACAAAGATGGATTTGTCAGGTTTAAAGCTACACTGATAAGGTCTAATCAGTTTGTTGACGGTAGGATTACTCTTCACACAAAACGATGGGACCTTATATGCGATATATATGAAACACGATAATTCACGCAGACTTTTTGTGGTTTGGACAGAGCACACTTAGGTCGTGCCTATTTTATTCCGGCCATATTTTGCAAAGATGCTGATGCATATACCTTGTTAGTTCTTCGCCCAGCCAATTGCTATTCGAACTTTTTTATATTCGGTTAATGAAACACCTGTTCCGTCGTCATCTATTGAGGAATCAGGTTTATCATCACCTGGTGTTCTATTTTCATTATCATTCAGCAGGCTGGAGTAGTTTTCCTCTATAAATTTTATACTCTCTGGACAGCAGACGCTAGTTCACTTCTGGGTTTTAGAGAGAGATTTCTTAAGTCGCTGTATTTTCGTAGATTTTTCGAGCGTTGCTCTTGTCGGTCAGCTTTCCCACCCCGCATGTATACTGGTCGATTGCAAAGCCTGTTTTTTCTACAACGCGCCACGGCAATCTTCATCGTACTAGTTGTTTTTTCTTCGAACTTACCGAAGAGGGGGGAAAAATCGAGCTGATCTCTTGTGAAAAGTTGATGAAGCCGATCCCTAACTGACTTAAAATGGAGATCAAAGATAAAGGACTTTACACAAACAACTAAATATTAAAAAAGTTTTTTATTTTTAAGAGAGCAGTGACGTAAAGCGATGCACGGCACTTCTTCGGTCTGTTTACCAATTCAGATTTAATAATTATTTTAGGAATTACCATTTAGCTGCGGCACTCACCTATCCTTATCTGCCAAATTGATTAGACGTCGCGATGCGCACGATATTATGTATCTGACGATGTCTTTGTGATTGTATTTGCAGGCGAAATGCAGTGCTGTCTGTCCATTCTGGTTTACTGATTGCAGTGAGTATCCTTGTTCATGTAGTGCACGTAACTGTAAGCAGCGAGAAAGAGTAAAAATAAATTCGAATTCAAATAGCTGACATACTCGAATGTATGTATGTATGCTAATTAAAACTGTGAAAACAACTCTTTTTTTTTCAGATGAATAAAAATTTCAAAATTTTGTTTAAAGGCGATCTGAGAACAGAATACTGTACTTTACCAGGAGTGACTAATTCTTAAACTAAGGCTTAAAATATATTACACATGCAAGATTATCGGTTGATTTCATTTGTAGCTTCATTGATTGCATTTGAGAAATAAAAATTGATGAATAAAATTACCGTTAAATCACAAGAGTTACATTTAATTTCTGGATTTAGCAATATGCGTTCCATTCCGTTTCGATCAATCTTCGAAACAGACGATTAATAATGCACATCCTCAGAGAGGCCGTACAGTGCGCACCAAAGAGGCATGAGTCCATACACTATCTCTCCGAATCGCTGACATACGCCACAATGCCAAAAAGTGGTCAAAAACATAACGTTAAATTATATGCGTTTTATTTTTTCTGCAAAACCCCATATCTAAAAAAAAACACTTTGTCTAGGACATACTTGAAAGCGTCCTTCGTGCGCTTAAATGTTTTTTTAATCTAAATAAGTGAATAATTTTTAAAGAATTATTCCTCGTTCAACCTAATTTTCTTACAGTTCTTCGCTCATCTAAAAAAGAGCACGATTGGATGGAAAATGATGTTGCGAAACTTCTCCTTTCAATTCATGCCACAGAATTATCGGCTGAATTCCCTCGTTCCTGTTTTTCCTCGTTATGTATTTCTCTTCTTTTTTCGATTTGAACGTAACTTAATATGCCTAACTATGATTGTGGCGGGGCGGACAATGGGAACGGAACGTAATCGGAATTCAAGTTTATTAAATGCCATGAGCGGAGCAACGTCAAAGAAGAATGACAGCCAATCAAGCTTAACTCTAAACAGCGGTTTAAACTTAATAATCTTGCATATGTAAATATTATATAATATTTTTTGCTCAAAATTTTAGTAGAGTGAAGAGAGGATCGAATGTGTTTGTTAGTCACAAATTATACGCTCTACATGTATTAGTGAGTTAATAGAATTATTTGAGTAAAACAAAAGTGCATTAACTACCATATTGAGGTCGCCTTCGTGTGCCGCTAGTAGTATGGCATCGGAAGTTTGTTCCAGTATAGAGCTAATTGTTGCATTGGTTTGTTTTATTTTCGAATATTATTATTTATTAATTTTTTATTTTTTGAATGTTTTAATTGTTGTGCAGTTGACAGCGGTGCGTGCATTGGTGTTGTTTGTTGACATACATACAGATATTTGTTATACATTGGTGTATATTATATTTTTTTGTTGCATTTGTAAATAATTTTTGATACAAAAAATGAAACAAAGGAAGAAAGAAAGGAAGAAAGAAAGAAAGAAGGAAAAAAATAAGTTAATAACCCGTCGTTGAAGAAAGGCATCAATTCTATTTAAAAAAAGCCGTTAAACATTTGTTATTCATAGAGCTTCACAAATATACCTGAATCCATAACCGAAGACGTCTTCATTGAAACTGAACAATCGATCTTTGTTGCTGCATGCAAGTTTTTCAAATTCAATTTTGTGAAAATTTTTATGCAATTCAAATTTTCCGAAAAGGCAAGCGTGTAGATTGAAAAGTTGAAAGCGGATCGAGAGAAAAAGTAACGGTTTTAGGCCCACATATTTATTTCAACATACTAAAATTACGAGCATTTACTTGTACGAGGGCGTGTTTGTATGTTCGTGTATGGCCAGCGTTGTAGGGGGTTATTAGGGGTCATTGGGATTGTAACGTGTTCAGTGACTGATGATTAGTGAAAAAAATATTCGAGGTCTCAAAGACAATCACTCGTTGCGGTATCGTTTGCGAACACGGAAAATCAGTTGATGGCATAATGCTTGAGATGTCATTGCGAACGTCAGATCCTATCTAAAAGTTTGAAAAATTGTGCTCAACAACGGTCGACTAAGGATGAAACAACTTGCAAAAATGGTTGGAGTAACCGATACAAACATTTTTGAATTCTACACGCTCAACTTGGCGTGACAAAGGTCAGCGCGAAAGACAGCGCGTGGAATGTTCCTTTGCATTTTTTGGACCTCGGTAATGAAAAGAAGGATGGTGTATTGAGTCGAATTGGTATTAGAGATGCTCATTATGAACCAGATCACAAGTCACAGCGCCTTTCAAGAAGTTCAAGTTGTCACAGTCAGTTGGAAAACTCATGACTACGGGTTTCTTAGGACTCTGCGCCAAAATTATTCATCGGTTAGAAAGATAAAGTTCTTCCTATAACTGAAAAATATATAACAGCGACTAAAAGAAGCCTTTAAGTCTTTAAAGAGAGAGTATGAGGAAATTTGACTGCATCACCACTCACCCTACTGTCCAGACCAGACCCAGCATGATTATTAATTGATTCCAAAAATTAAAAATGAGCTGAGAGATAAATAATTTATCAACGAGGATCAGGTCAAGCGGACAGTTTCGGCGTATTTTGAGCATAAAGAGAAACATTTTTTTTTATTAAATCTCAATATATTGGACAATAACTTTGGTTTTTATTTCCACATTTTAGTCCGTATTCCGCGAACATAAAGGCAATCGCTCGTACATGAGCGAATCGATTTGAATGACTGCCGTTCGGGGGGAGATGAATTATGGATTGAATAATTCGGAACTGCGGTCTTTCGAACGGCGACTATCCTATTTTTCCCACTATTAAAATATTGAGAAATTATAATTTAAATTCCTTTATTTGGTAAAATTATTATTATTATTTTTTAATGAATTTTTGGCAAGATGATTGGTGTAAGCATCTCTGTGATATTTTTAGAATGTGCGACAGTGTGCGGCTAAAGGGAATTGGTTTTGGAAAAAATTGCGCGATGTAAAATTTGAATTTTTGAATTTGTTGCGAGACAGTGGTTTCTAGCGAATTGAGTAACATAATTGCGAGAGAGATAGAGCGAGAAAGGGTGATGGAAAGAGTGTATTTACGTATAAAGTTTACCTCTTCCATTTCATAACCTTAACAGGTTTTCCGATTTGCAAATCATCTTGATATTTCAAAAATTTTTTTACAATTTTTGTTTTTGTTTTTAAGACATAAAAACAGGAGAGAGATAATGTTTATTAATACATGTAAGTAAATCAACTGAGAAAATTGAAAACTAAAAATTCATAAATAAAAATCATCAGCATTCAAAAATTCAAAAATTTATAGAGAATTAAAGAAAAAATTCAAATGCATTGCATACATTGAACATACCATTTCTTACTTGCTATTTGGCTTAGTGCGCAACATTTGAGGTTATGTTGGGAGTTTTTAATTTGCGGTTTTTTATTTATTGTTTTTGGTATTTTGGTATTTTGGTATTATTTGGTTGTTGTTTTGGGTTGCTGGTTGTTAGCAGGAAGATATCGGAATACGGTTTAGTCTTTGCTGTCAATATAAGTTGCACTAGAAGTATGTTTGTGTGTATGCATGTAGGATATATTGCACCTGCATATGTGAGTAGCTTTATATTTATCGGTATATGCGTAATGGTACTTACATTTATGCGGCAAGGACTAAGCTGTATTCTGAAATCTTTTTTTGTTTTTGTTTTTGTTTTTCTTTGTGTTTGGTTTGAAGGTCAATAATTGGCTAATATTTACTAAATATATATGTACAAACATTTTTAGTTGGTTTAAATAACGAAACAAAAGTTGCAGGCAAAATTATGGGTGAATAACAAAAAATGTCATACAAAAAAAAATATTATTTTATAAAATAATGGATTTAGGTAAATATATGTGGATAAAAAATTTTCGCAATTTGGACTTTTATTGACTTAATGAGGCTGAAGAAATTAGCGCTTTTGAACTTTTACGATTTTAAAATTATTTTTTTTTGATATTTATGCATTATAGGGTTATTCATTTCGTGGTTACAAATATATAGGGCTGCATTTTGACGTTTGTCACGATTAACTGTAAAACCAAACATAACCGCAAAAAAACGTTAAAATTGTTAAAACGCCTTTCGTGCTTTCAAATATTGCTAATGAAAGTGAAAGTGCAGCCGAAGACCCGAATAAGTCTATATACCGATGTTCTCAAGAGCTGGAACTTTTTTTTGCGGCACATTATGCCGTATTTTGCACTTGGACTTAAACCTACATCCATTTAAAGTTCAGTTCACACAAAAACTGTAGCCAGCAGATTTTTAAACTTAAATTGTCCTCAGCGACGAGACATTTTTCTGACTCGAGGAATGCTTAAATAAGCAAAATTGCTAGCCCTCGAATAATTGAAGAGAGGTCATTACATCCAATAAAACTTTCTGTCTGGTACATCCTTGGGAGGTGTGATTGGACCTTACTTATTTGAAAACGACAACGGCGGTACTGCCACTGTCAACTCGGAGCGTTTTGGTCGTATGATAACTGACTTTTGTTTTAGCTTGCTAAATGTGGCTTCAACAAGATGGTGCCACACAAAAAGAGTGAATATTGCTTTGTTGCGAGACATATTTCCCGCCTTGGCGTGGGGCTACGCGAAATACCGTGTTAAAGGGGGGCAGAAAAAAGCCGATTTTTGTGATTTTTTTTTCTCATTTCTGAGTGAATATAATTTTTCAAGTTTTATACAAGATAAATGGCTATATTTGGAGAGCATCTAGGCATTTTTTGTCAAAAAAATATTATTATTTATCCCGTGGCGGCGATCGGTCGCAGGGGCTTCAAAATAATGTCGAATGTCGGTGCGTAAAACCTGGCCACAAATTGAATTGATTTTTTTAATATATAAGACTATTTACGGATGAACGAAATTATAAGAAAAATATGCGATTTTTAATTTTTTCTTGTAAAAACTGTGAAAAAAAAGTCTTTTATATAAAAGCGGTCGTTCATCCATAAGTATTTATTGTATAGAGGATCTGACTTTTTGAGTTACGTTACGCACCGACTTGAAAAAAGTAGTTTTGAGAAAAACGCGTCTAAACTTTTAAAAACAATTGAAATTCACGAAGATGAGATAATCGGTATGTCAGCGAGTTTTAGTCGAATTGACATGAAATTTTCACAGGATTCTCGAAAACGAGATTTTGTAATTTAATATAAAAAGTTATAGAATTTTTTTTTAAGTTTAAGGTTTAACTATTGAGCACTTGCTAACCAACGCCCGTCAAGTTATGGCTGAGATACCGCCCAATATGTGCCAAAAAGTGTTCAAAAATTACCTCAAGCGAATGAAGTTTGCTAACATTCGTGTGGTGGTCTTATGAATGTTAATAATGCCAAGCTTCAAATTTTATGAATATTTAAAAAGGAATTTCTTGAAAAAATCATTTAGAATATATTTTAATTTTGTTTATTATCGAGCCACAAAATGGACAACCCTGTAATACTTAAAGTTTTAATATTTATTTCACGCGCTATTAATTTCTATTTATATGAAAAAAGCATATAATTTTCTCTCCTTTTGGCGTTTCGAAAATTTCTTGAAAATTAATGTCAATTAGTTAACTATATACATACAAATATTTATGAGAAAATAACAAATTAATTTTAATATTTTTAAATAACAAAAAAAAATGAAATTAAGTTAAGTTTAAATTTTAATATAAATTAAAGAAGGTCGCAAAAATTACTAAAAAATAATCTCAACACTAAATAACAAAAGACTAACCGGAAATTGTTCATCGTTTTTATTCCATCATTTTCCCTTTTTTTTTACCCCTTTTTCAATAACTAAAGAGTTTTTTTCCCCCAATTGAAATCCAAAAACAAATAAATATTGTACATTCATATCGATCTTTTACAATTCGAAACGCTTTTTGCGATAATAATAATTGCAAAACATACGTTTACTTATATAAGGTAATTGCGTACCGGTGCTGCCTGAACGGCCTTGTTGATCCATATTGCGACGCTCATTTTGTGCGCCGATCCGTTGTGAGTAAGCGGAGAAGGAACGCTCCTGATCGGGCGTCTGTGGCATGGTGGCGGCTTCATGATCCAAAATGTACAATTCGTCAATGGCAATGTCGCAAATGTAATGGAGATGCTCCTGAGCGCGATCGATTCGAAAATAATGCTCAGCGGTGCAGGCTGTAAGAGAGAAGGGAGATAGACAGAGAGAGACAGAGAAAGAAAGGGTGAAAAATCGAGATTTTATTTCAATAATATTATTTAGAAACAAAAAAATTTCGAATAGATCGCTAAGCTTTATATACATATTATATATATACATATGTGCTGTTTCATATTTTTTTTATTTGAGTAGCCTCGAAGAACTCATAGCTTTGCTGACCCTAAAACTAAACAAAAAAGGTAAAAATCGGACATGGCGAAGAAAATTGAATATTAATTCTCATATTTGAACAAATCGGTTGTATGGGCGCTGTCTGATATAGCCTCCGAATTAGGTTAGAATTGGCGACAAGATTTATTTATATGTACATACGTTTGTGGAATCGAATTCTTTAGTTTTTTTATTTATCGACAACCTCATACCAAAACAAATCATTCGATTTCCATAATTTTTAGCTTGGATACTTTCTTAGCGTATTTATGATCTAAAATCTTATATTAGAAAAATCTGTCCGATGTGTCCGATTCCGACAAATAATCGTTTAAACGTATCAGTGCATATCTGAAAAGCTTGCGTGCAAACAGAAGGACAGACCGACACGACTGAATGGACTCAACTCGTCATTCTCGCCTGATCGGTATATATTTTGATGAACCTTTCTCTTTTCCTTTTGGCACTTGCATACTTCCGCCCGAAGTTAATATACCATTTCATTTTCATGAGTATTTTTGAATCACCTTAATATGTCTATTACAGTTATTTGTTTATTTCGTTTTTAATTCTGATTTTATTATGTTTAGATTTTCACTTTTGGAATACTTCTTGAAAATTTTTTTATTTTTTTTTTATTTTGTATTTAGCTGAGGCATACTCACAGTCGATAAAACACCAATCCTGCGACACCTTGGGATATGTAATCGATTCCTCGAACTTCGCATTGAGCATGTTGCGCACTTGCTCCAAATCGCACTGCGATTCAATTTCCATTTTACCCAATTTATTAGCCAATTTTCGCAGCATATCCTTGTCGTAGTGATACTGTTCGTATTGCTGCATTGTTATGCGTAAGATGGTCAAATGCAATTTTTCCAATGGGTTCACCCTAAAATTAAACAAACAAAATTTGGAAAATAGAGAAAATGGGTAATGCGGAAGTGTGTAAAAATATACATACATATATGTGTAAATATAAAAGAATTTAAGTATTGACATAAAGTGTAAATGAAAATTAGCTTGAAAAATAAATTTCCATCTCTACCCTCTCTCTCGCTCTCTCTCTATCTGAGCACTTCTGATAACACAATTCAGAATTAATGACCAAAAAACACTTAACTAGCACTAGAAAAAGTATCCTGTGACTCAATCCGAAGCATGCAGTGCCGTATTTTATAGCGCAGTATTGGCAGTTGGGCTGAGGCCTGGTGAGTATTTCCCACTTGCTTATTAACCCAATGAAGGAAATGTTATGTGGTTATTTAGTGTTCATTTTATAATCCGCAAATTGTTTACCTCAGTAAAATTTCTCGCTTAAAAGGAAAAAGTATTTGCTGAGGAGATCTTTACTTGTACGAAATAACGGTATATATTTATTGTCTCATTCGCTTCTCGGAACTAATTATCACAGCAGACAGGCAGGTCAGTTAATTAGGGAAGCAAGAAGCCGAGGCACATATTCGAAACTTTGCGATGAGAAAAGCACTTCCTCATACATAACAAAATTCTACGTTAAAGAGCCACAATCGCAACAGACTGACTAATTTTTCTACTCGACCTGTTTTCCTTAGTTGGCCTACGCAGTGTTCTCTGCGCTTTTTTTTTGTCCAGCTTGGGGACGTGGAGGCGTATCTAATCAATATTATCGGCATACGCCAGCAGTTGTACGCTATTGTAGAAGATTACACCTTCCTCATGCAGTTCAGCAGCCTCTATGATTTCCTCCATATTGGAAAAGCCTTGTTTGAAACCTCGTTCGGTATCGAAATTCGGAAGTAACTGTTGCTGTTCCGCAACGTCGTGCCTTATTGCATTAACGTAAGCGCATCCACTTTTAGCAGTTCAGGGTCTGACGGATCACCCAAATGGTAGAATTAAAAACAATGCATTTTAAGCTGCATGAAGGCCGCAATAGCTGAAGGGTTAGCAATACATACTGACATTCGGAAGGTCAGGGTTGGAGTTATAATTCGACCGCATCCAAAATTACAGATAATTATATTTTCTAATCTAAATTTAAAGCACTTCGTAAAAAAAACCATCAGCCGATCGGAGGCGTCTTAGTATAAACTGTAGGTCCCACCATTTTTTAGAAAAACATCAAGACGGTTAAAATTCGATTCGGCAATTACAAAGTGCCAATTAAATATATCACCGCCAAAGAAAATAATTACTCAGGCTAAAGCCGCTAGCGGAAAAATATCGAGTTGAAGAGAGAAGTGAAACGAGTTCGGACCGCTTGACAAAGAAGACCGTGAGAATCTGTTCGATATCAGAAATTACAGTACCAATTCAAATCAAATTGCTCAACTTTTGAAGATGGCGTTTTTTAAATTTGGCACCAAGGGTAAGGTCAGGCGTTAGGCGCCAACATCAAACGGAAGTCGTAGCTAACACTCAAGAGATTACGGTAAAAAGTTAAAGTGTTGGGAAAAGCCTTCAAAAAATTAACGAATCGTCCGTTTCTCGTATGGTTAAATTCATGCAATTGTCTTCATGTATGTATGTACATATGTATGTATGTATGAGTGTAAATATAAAAAGAATTTTACTCGCTTTATACATTTTTTTTTAATAAAAAAATTCATTTTTTATTGCACTTACTGCACATCGCCACGTCCGTGTTTGCGTTTGGCCAACATGACCGCCTTATTTAACAAACTCATTTCGATAATGGATGGCTTCACGCGGCACGCCTCGCCATCCACCTGCATGGGGATTGTCTTTTTGGTGATGATGCGTGCCGACCGACACTGGCAAATGCACGTGCCGTGCAAGCCGGCCTGCAGCATGGGCAGCTGGTATGTGGTCAGGCCGACCACTTCGATCATGCCGTCATCGATGGCTGGCTTAGATTGGCCAAACGAGTCGTTCCAGGGATGGGTGCCGCCGCCATAGCTGAAATTGCAAAATATGCAGTAAAATTAATGGAATGAATGCAATGTGGTATGTGTGTATGCGTGCGTGTCATAAAGGAGCGGCTTGAGCTGGATTTATAACACACTCATGCCTGCTCAATGCAGCAACACTATCGGGGGAGCACTTAAAAAAGGTGTGCAATTTATGACTAAGTGATTGCGATTGTCGCTGACAGGCAGGTGGTCGGTTGGTCCGATTGGACCGGCCCCAAGCCGCTTTATCTCTTTTTTACACCTTTCATTAATGTGTGGTGGTGAATTGTTTGTATTGGCACGCGATAAGTAAACGTCGGTGGAATATTAGGGTGAACTTACCTGCCAATATTCAGAAAGAGCACTGCATGGCAGCCGGCGTCCCGCAACTTGCCTGTGAAATCGACACCGTCGCACTCCATCGTCACCCACTGCGAGAGATTTCGATACTGACGTAATATCAGATCCTTGCCGCCCATCTGACCGTAGTACATTTTATTGCGCAACCGAGAGTTAAAACGCTCCGGATGCGCCTCACGAGCCTCATGAAACTCCAGCGCGATGTGCGCGTCAACGCCGAAAGAATAATAATTGTTGATCACATTTAAAGGTACATTATCCTTGCTGCGGGGTACGTTATCGTCCTCCACATCCGGGTTAGGTGTGACATTCAGACGCCAGCGATCCATTAGCACACACTGAGACATGCCAATTTCGCGTAAAATCTTGCTGATCGGTTCATCGGTGTAGCCCTGTAGAGCAGAATTTCCTAATAATATTGAAAAATAGCGAAATATAAAAGAAAAACTTACGCCACCCCAACCCAGTGCACGTGCTAGATCATTACCGGTGCCCAGCGGCAGCACACCAACAGCCGGCGCCGGTGTTATCGGCGGGTTGAGCATGTCTAAGATAGAGAGCACCCAACCCACTGTGCCGTCACCGCCACAAGCCAATACGCGCAGATTTGGCGCCTTGCGGAAAAGTTCCAAGCTGTGAGGGCGAGAATTCAAAATTAAGTGTTTATTCATTCAACATTCTCTAGCACCCACTCACCCCATCTTTGGGCCACCTTGCGTTAAGTCGAAAACTTGTCGTGGATTCAGCAAATGTTGAAATTTACCCAACAGCTTCACACCCTGATTGCCGCCCGACTTCGGATTGATAAACACAATCACTGGTATGACATCGGGCGATGGTATGGGCTTGACAATAAAGGCGCGCGGCTCCTTCTTCTCCTCCTTTTGCTTTTGCCGTTTACTCATCCCTTTCTTTTTACTGCCCGCTATGGTCACATTGGCTTTATTGTTCACTCGTATGGAGGATTTGAAATTGCCTTTGGTGGGCAATTTGACAATCCATGAGGGCGGTACGATAATTGGTGCATAGTTGCCTGAAAAGAGTTTAAATAAATTTCTGTTTTAAATTTACCATAAAAGGATAAATGTGAAAGTATTCTAAGTAAATATTAAAATTAGTCAGTTGAAAGAACTTTTGATTATTCTGAGTCGTATTCAAAAACTTGTTGACAACTGTCGAGTCAAAGTTTCATAAACACAGAAATTCTCTAAGGAGTGCGTTAAATTCGAGGCTCGGCTGAAAATTCGAAAGTTCATAGCTCAATTTCGAAATTGCTCTAAGGGGTTTGTACTTTGGCTCACCCTTGTTTTTTGTGCTGAGTTCGATTTCACTTCACACAACCAAATAAGGATTATCCCTGGGCTTCTTTGAGGTAATTTCAAAATATGATGGGAACATATTCGATTTCCAATTTGGAATTTGTAGAAGACTTTTTCGGAAAGGACTTAGAAGAAGTGGGAAGTAGTTTTGAATTTGTGGCAAATATTGAAAAACATTGGGAGACGTACAAAATTATTTGTAAGGATTTTGTAAGTTACTTTGTGAAAATAATTCCCAGCCAAAATTTTCGAGATAAACGTTAATAAACACTTTTTCGATTTATAATATGTGGGAAATAGGTTGCTGCAGATTTGAAAAAGTTTCAGGATTTTTTTCTTTACAGGCATAGACACCGCTCACATAGTTATAGACGAGTTTACAACAGCGCGCCACTCCTTTCTTCTCCGCTGTTTGGTGTTAATCGAAAATTTCAAGTACAGCCAGGTTTCTCTCCATCTTGTCTTTCCAACAGAGCGGATTTTTTTCTCTTCCTGTGGTTCCTCTGGCGTTCACTGCATCGAATGCTTTCAAAGCCACCGTGGAAGCTGTTTCTCGATTCGCTGAGCTATGTCTCCATCACCGTATATCTCGTATAGCTCAGCGTTCCATCGGCTGCCATATACGCCGCTCCCAACTCGCAGTGGACCATTATTAAATGAATCATAAATAAATCTTACGCAAAACCTATTTCTCAAAAACTGCCTACGCCGATTCCTCAGAAGTTGTCATCGCCAATGCCTTTGCACCATATAGTAGGACTGAAATTTCGGCTACAAATCGGGAGAGGACTTTACTTTTCAGTTGCCTACTCAGTCTGAAGTAGCACCTGTTGGCAAGAGTGATTCTGCGTTGAATTTCAAGGCTGACATTATTATTGGTGTTCATGCTGGTCCCTAGATAGATGAAATTATCTACGACCTGGAAGTTATGACTGTCAACAGTGATGTGGGAGCCGAGTAGCGATTGCGGTGACTGTTTGTTTGATGACGGAAGATATTTCGTCCTATCCTCGTTCACTGCCAGAACCATCTGCTTCGACTCTTGGTTAAATCAGAACTCACTGCACGCTTGTTAAGACCACTATTGTCAATATCATCGGCGACCGGCAGCAGCTGCACACTCTTATAGAAGATTGTATCCTCTATATTCAGCTTTGTAGGTCGTAGTAGTCGTAGTTCTTAATACGTTTCCAGTCATCGTCACATTTACTATGTGAGAACGAAGTATATTCATATTTTGTAAGTTGGGCACCACTGGTAACGAATATTTCAGTGGATCTACTGAAGTTTGATTTTTAGCCGTGACCGAAGGCTCTACGTGATTTGGTTACTGCATTTTGTACAAGTGTTTCTCACGTTTCCACGTGAAGACGCGCACGTCAGACTTAAAATTGAGTATATCCTCGCGACTGTAACTGCATACTCAGAAGCCTTACTATGGGGTTCAGTCACCCTAAACCTTAGAAAATGAACACTGCCACAAATGAAATTCGACAATTTTCGTATGAAGGCCAACCGAGGCGAAATTTCATTTTCTTTTCCAATTTCACAAGTAATCAGCACCAACAAATGCAATGAGTATGAAATTATATGATTTTCTTTACACTAAAAAGCTGTAAAATTGGATATTTTACAATACGAATATGCAATCCGAAACCCACACCGCTCACATCAGCCACTTGCACTGGCGCATCTGAGCAGCTCGATAAGCCAATACTACAATAATTTCAAGCAGACTCTCTCCTGCTCATGACTCCAAGTGTTATCGCGGATTTGAGGAGCGAAATCAATGCATCCACTTACATACACCCTCACTCCTACATTTATCATACAGCTACTTATGTGCATACATACAAAGATGTAGATATGGTCCGTCTGTCCACACATTGTAAGCTTTGCGCTGTAATCAGTGCAAATCATTTGACTTGAAATTGCTGCTGAGTTCTCAACGTACGATTTCGTACGTGCGAATGCATTCATGAATAAGAACGCTTCCAATATACAATAGTAAGAATGTCTATGTGTTTGGCGCCGATTGTACAGATGTTTATGACAAGTATGTACTCCTTCCTATGTATGCCTGAGGAAGTGAACTATTTGTTGCCTCTCAATGTGCCAAGTGTGTTTAAATGTCTCGGTGTCCATGTGTGTAGAGATGACTATTTGAAATTGGCGACCATGGGGGGGTGCTATTCGAAAGCATCCTCTGTCCTCTATCGTTGTTTAGGGTAAAACAACTCGTTTGCTGCAAGTGAAATATGAAAATGAGTAGTTGATGTTAAGCCATCCTGTTAGGTAAGTCCTGACTAACATTTTTGGGAACTCTGATGCTGGCTCACAGAAAGAGCACTCGTCTGCTAAGTCAAGATCTACTAATTTTATACCTGCCTTAGAAAGTCTGATTAGAAGATTTGGTGGATCAGAAACAGTTGACACTTCTAACATTTTTTCTATTGTATAACAAAATATTGCGGCAGCTACAATAGCTGAGTTGTCAGCATACAACTTTTGGAAGGCCAGGGTTTCATTCCTGGTTCGGCCAACATGAAAGTAAAGCTCGCCCTAAAAACACATCGGCCGCTATATTTTAGGACTTCAGCGGTTACCAAGCGCTAATTATATATTAAGCTTTTTTAGCATATTAAAAGAAGAATTTGAAATATTTGTAACACGACAAAGGCATTCAAGGCAAATGTCAATTACGCTTACATGCATCAGCTTTATACCAGTTAAATACTAGTTTATTTATGCAAGTATAATTTAGTACTGCTGTCGCGATAGCCGAGTGGTTAGCATTGCGTACTGCCGTTCCGAATTTAAGTTAAATTTTTATTGTGGTCGCTTCTCGGCAGGGAATGTCCACCCCTCAACCGTCAGCCGTTCGGAGGCGGCTTAGTATAAACTGTAGTTCACTCCATTTCTTGGAAACACATCAAAACGCAAAACCACAAGTAGGAGAAGGAGCTCGGCCGAAAATAGATCCCTCAGGTGGCTGTGGCAAAACAAGCTCTGTATTTTAATGGTCATTTTTACGAATTTCGAATGGAGGTATCTGAAATATTTTTAAATTCATAACGACAGCTCCGTTAATTTCGTTGAGAGCACTACAACTCTGTGCAAACAAGCAGCCACAATCATCAATGTTTCATCGTAATCACGAAATTTTTCATATCCAACCAAGAGCCAGGACAGTCGCCATGTAGGCATATTCTCAGTGTTACCGTTAAAGTAAAATTTTCTAATTTTTTTAACCCTCGAAATTGAATTTGGTACACTGCTTTTTCGACCATTTCAAATTACATTTGCCAGTTGGTAAAGTAAAAAGAAGAATATTTACATAGGAATGGAAGACCGAGCTCAATAAAATAAATAACTTTTATTTTTTTGTTAATTAAGACATAAATAATTGTGATAAACTTGCTAGGACGACAATAAAAACAAAGCTGAATGAAAACATTATCTTCCAAATTAAAAGAGTAATTTTTTTCTCACAAACTTTTGCACCTCTTTGCACTTTTTTCTTCATTTTCAAGAATTCTAGACATTTTGGTATTAAATTTTTTCTCAAAATAACAACACAAAATCAAATAGAAGATATTATTGTTACCTCCTATTTCGCGGGTCACACAATTTACAGGGTGACAGTGAACTCAGAATAAAAACTAATAGTAACAAAATGAAAGGTAGATTTCGAAAGGAAAGTAAATTTAATTACCTCGACAGAATAGGTCGAGAAATTTCCTTTCGCATTTACTTCACAAAATATTAGTCTGCTCATTTCCTATGAAATACACGCCGTAAGCGTCCGGACCTTTATTAATTTCGTTCACTTTACGGCTTGTATCGCAAAAAAAAAAACTTAAAAAAAGTACTTAATATCTACAAGATATTGTAGTTGAGTGTGCCATTACATTCTTACTTCATCCAATTTTCCTTAAGGCTTTCAACTAGAACTGTGTCAATGCAACTACCTCGACAAATGGAAAATGGTTGGGAAAATATCTTCAATAGGAATTTGCGATGACCACAAAATAAAATGTGGACACAGCAAGCATTGAAATACAACTTGCACGCGTACTCTTACGTGCTTATGCCTCTGTGCTTGTGTTAGCGTGTGTGTGTGTGTATTGCAAAATATCGAATTTCAAAAATTGAAACCGATGCTTGTGGCTTGGCCAATCATTTGCAAATTGGCCAAAAGTGTTTGCATAGACCGACCTGCACACCCACATACCATAGATACATGGAAATATGCAGTTTATATGCAATAGTTCGCCGAGGCGTATGAGCAACGTCCGTCGATTGGCTCGAATTTCAAATAATTTTTGCTCTTTCTTGCTGTATTTCGTATGTAATTGCAGAAATCGAATGCCTAGGAAGTGTATTAATCTAATTGCTATGCATGTTTGGTAATATTTAAGTGGCGGTAATGAGTGGATTGTGAAAGAAAAGTTAATGGAGTTATAGATGAGGGAGCTCAAAGTGACACAAGCATAAATCTACCTTTTTTGATACGTATAGTGGATTTAAATCATTACTATTTTTTAGAAATTAAGAAAACTCATCTTCTTGCAAAAAAATGGTTTAGTTACAATAATTTTATTATATAAAAAATAACAAATTTTATTCAAATTTTTTCTTTCTTCAAAATATACGTATGAAGGAGAAAATCTGAAACTTTCAATAGAAAAGACTTATAACTCCCGCTTAACGACGTCATTTCAGGTAGCAATTCAGAAAAAGTCGTGTCTGCCCTTAAAGGAAAAAAGCCAGCCAGGATTGAGGGTCAGGGAGTTTTTTTGTGTGTTTGTTGGGATTGGCAAGAAATCATTCACTATGAGCTTCTCCTCTCCGGCAAAACTTTTAGTTAAGATCTGTACTGCCAGCAACTGGACCGTCTGAAGGAACCAATCGCCCAGAGGCGACCGGCTTTGGCCAACAGGAGGGGAATTGTATTTCATTCGACAACGACAGACAACACACATCGGCTGTGACTCTCCCAGACCTTGCTTGGGAGGTTCTTATATGCAAACCTTAAAGTCTGCAACTGTAACCTCTTACTTAAGCTATCTTTTAAGTGAGCCTTTTAAATTTCATTTTTTTTCTCTCTTTTATCTTGAAAGTTTTTGAGTACACAGTTAATTTAATTCAATACAAATTGGTTGAAGAAGGTTCACAACTAAATGATAAAAATATAAGGAAATACAGTAGCCGATTCAGGGGAAAATCGCAACTTTTCAACTGCCACCATTGAGGTTACTCATACGCCCCAGCATAACACTGCTGGCTTTTTTCGCACTGCATCATATGTACACGTATTTGTACACATATACAAAAACTGTAAAAGGGTTGGTGATTCATTAATTTCCACCGCAATTAAATAGAAAATGTTGCTTCATTAAGTTTTGCAAGAGTGAATAAGTGGAGACGAAGAATTCCAATGAACATGGAGAATGTAAGATTTTCGCAAGCTTGAATAGCATATATGTATATACATAAATACATACATATACAAACATGTATAATATATAGATTTACTATATATGTGTGAGGAAACATATGTATTTATGTATGTATATCTGTGTGAGTGTTTACATATGAATTGCCAATGCAATTAGTTCATGCTGCACATGCAACATCGGCAACAAAGTTTGTCTTTTCAACGTATTTCTTTTATTATATATACTCATATCCATGTGTGTGTATTCATTTGCACACATACAGAGCAACGCTTTTGTGCAGAGTGTCGGATTTGTGTAATTAAATGGAATTTAAAAGTGGCCCACAAGCACGCAAACATTGAATTAAGTGTGCAGCACTCCAGCTTATATATGGGTATGTATGTGTTGCATAAACATACATACAAAAGAATAAAATAGAAAGCTATATTCTATGAAAAGTATCTTCAATTTACGATTTCAATGTTATATAAGTTGGACTTTGATTGGAAATTAATTTGATATCTTTTTAATTCCTCTTAATTATACAACTTTCTGTTCATTGGAAATTTTTCTGGGATGATGTTTCAATCTTTAGAGAATTTTTAATTTTTTTTTCTTTACACTATACAAACGAGAGTTTCTATTATAGTTTTATTAATATAACTTCTTTTAGTCAAATGTTTTTTAATATTCTTTGTTTAAGAAAACTTCTATTTTTATTAATAATAAGTTTTTAATAATGCATCTCTTTATTAATATGAAATTTTCAATAATATTTTTATATTTATCAATATTATTTTTTTTTTGCATTTATATATTTTTATTGACATTATTGTTTAAGCAAACCTTCGTTTACACTTTCACTCACCTAGTGAACACTCCTCGCCAATTTTCGCCTGATTGAAGCAGGACTCCTTATTGTGGTAGACTTCATGGCACCAGGCGCATGACAGCGCAACGATTTCTTTGGAACCAAAGAGTTTTCCTTGAACAGCCTGTAGAAATAGAAAAAGCATAGAATAGAATTAGAAAATTAAATTTTAAACTTAAAAATTTATGATAATGCGGTTTGAAAGTTCCTTTGAGTTTTGAAAAATTATTATTAAAAAAATTGTTATTAAAAATGTTCATAAAAATTTTCCCACTCTCTGAAGGTATGAGGAAATTTTACTGGTATATTTGTCAAATCATGACATTAACTTCAGTTACTTTTGCCTACATACTAACGGCTTATTTATAGCGACTTATGTTTTTATTTGATAATCACTCAGGATAATAAAGTTATGATTAAATGGCAAGCCATAAAAATCACAACTATATTGCGATTGTGAAATTTGCGTTTCTTAACCTACCAAAATGCAATGAAGTAAAATACTTTTTTTAGAAAAAAAAGGAATTGAAATACCGAAGGAAAGCCACAAAATAGAAATGAAAGCTGGAATAAAGAGACTGAGTATTTTTTTCGCTTCAAAGTTTAGAAAATAGTTAAAAATTGTGGTTAAATTTGAATGGGTTGAAACACGTTTTATTTCAATTTTGATTGTTGAATTTGACTTGGGATTTAAAGACTTTTTATATGGGAAAATTTTCTAAATTAATAATACAAATAGATAAAGAATTTAGAGACAAAATGTGAAAAATTATTATTTTCAATTAAAATTTTATTGCCAAATTTTCATTGTACTCAAAAGAATTTTATAATATTTTTTCGGTTTAGCCATATTTTATGTTATGACATTTTTTATATTAAACAATATTGCCTAATGTATCTTACTAAAAACGTGCTCTCAAAAGCATTTTTTTCTTAGCCATATTTTATGTTTTGACATATTCTTTTACGACATAATTTATTTCAAAAATATTATTATGTTATATTAGCTGAAGTTATAACATTTTACATCTGCGGCGATGATTCATTAAGCAAAACTCTAGTAAAATATATTTAAATTCTGCAAATTTAAACAATTTCTATTATTTTTAACGGTTTCGAAAATACTTTTTATTTGTAAAATTTTTATCTTCGTGTTATCCTTTAACGCATATACTTTTTTAACATTTTTCCCCCATAATCTACTCATATACGTCCATACATACATTCACACATACATACATATGTATATTATTTGCCCTTTTCATATTTATTTTCTGTTATTTTGTAAGATGTCATTTTTGCCTACTTTGTTGCTATGGGACAAGTTTAATCGACACAACGTTCGGACGTGGGCAGCAACAGCCTGGACGTGCTCGGCATTTTTCAATAAGCTCGATGGCATTCCGAGAGGATTGCATATTCTTGTGGCATGCAACATTTGTGGCGTGCCTTGCAAAAGTTTAAGCTCCACTCTTTGTTTTTGCTGTTGTCTTAATTTTCAATCTACCTGCTCGTTTGCTGGCCTGCTGTGTGCATTATTATTGAATATATCTACTATTTATGATATCGATGCCATTAATGGAGCGTTTATTATGAAATTCCATGCAAGTCGGTAGACGTGCGCCTCTGGCGTTCGATGCCATGGATAAGAAGCTGTGCTGGAGTAGAATTTAAAATTTATATATCTACAATATATGCATGTGAGTGTGCATATATTTGCAATTGGCTTTGAAGTTTGTTAAATGAAATAAATATTGGAAAATGCATTAAAAGTGGCTGGAGAGAGTATTAATTGGTTTGCACTGTTGGAGTAAGTAAGTAATTCCCGAGATTAAGGAGAGCGAGGGCCGAAGAGAGCAAGAGAGAGAGAGAGAGAGAGAGAGAGAGAGAGAAGATAGTTCATACGTTGCTGTTGTTGAATTAAATTGCCATTGTAAATTAATTACTTTGCTTAAAAGCTTTTTAGAACAAAATATGCAATCATAATTAGGCATTCTTCAACTGTGGTTTGTGGCAATTTGAAATTCAGAATGTAGTATTTGTACGTACAAAGATATACACTTGTACATAAATATATATACATATATTTACATATGTATGTATGTACATGTACAGGCCTGTATTTTGACATCTGTCGAACTCAACTCTCAAACCAAAAAACTTTTTTTTCTTTGCTCAAGTCAGGGATTTATGAAGGTGACTCACCTTAGAACCGTAAAATGCTTTAGATTGCTAAAACCTGCTGCACATGTAGGTTTCCTAGCATGGGCACGTATCGTACTTAAATCTTCCAACTACGAAAGCGATTGAGGCTGAGACTCGATTGGTTACTGATATTGCAAGACCTGGGTTTTATCGTTTTGCTCCTCACCCTTCAAATATCGCCACTGTAGATTAAAGTGTAGCCGAAGAGCAGATACCTCTCGATTTTTCCAAGAACTGGGACTTTTTTACGCCACATTATGGCGTATTCTGGACTTAGACCTACAACCAATTTTCTTCCTCGGGTGATACGCAAATGAGCAAAATTGTCGCATTTCGGGACCCGATAATCCTCGAAAAATTAAAGAGAGGCCATTATACCCATAAAACCTTCTGTTTGGAAGTATGACTGGACCTCACTTCTTTGAAAACGACAACGGCGAGATGATCTCTGTCAATTCAGAGCGTTATGGTTGTCTGATAACTAAATCTTTTTGCTATGCAATTGAAGAACAAGAGTATGCCACATGCCACATAACACGAATTCTTTTGTGGGGCTACGCTTCAACTCTTGAACACTTGAAAACCAACACCCGTCAAATTATGGTTGAGATATGTGCCAAAAAGTGTTCGAAAATTACCTCAAGCGAATGAAGTTTGCTAACATTCGTGGGGCGGTCATTTGAATGATAATAATGCCAAGGTTCAAACTTTATATTTAAAAAGGAATTTAATTGAAAAATGATCTTAAATGCATTTCATTTACGTTTATTTTCGAAACCTTAAAATGGATAACCCTGTTTAAGTAGAGGTATGTATTAATTACAAATTAAACTCACCTTTCCGCATTGCTTGCACTTGCCCTTCTCCATTTTGCGATGCACCCAGTGGTGATGCGTGGTCGACTGTTCCCTGTATTGTCTTACGCCTACGTCTCGAAAGGTTGGCTTACACGCTAATTGAGTCTTTTCATTGACGAGTGGAATGCAATTTTGATGCGCAATTAATTGGCACGCAGAGCACTTCATGCGTTGACCACTTTTCTGTTATACAAAAACAAAAACAAAAATTAATAATTAATATTTAATAATGTGGCAAATTGAATATATATATATATATATATATATATGAGTATATGTCGCCTTTTTGTGTTTGTATGTGCGTGAGGGTAAAATTGATATTTTCAATTAACTATAATATTGTTATGATCATGTACTGTTATGTGTATATATGTATGTATGTATGTATGTACGTATGTATCTGCGGTATGGAATTTTTGTGGTCTCATAAAAAATGCTATCAATCAAATGCTCACTTTATGGCTCGTCAGTGGGTGCATTACGAAAACAATTTGTTCGCTAATGGAGAGTTTCATTAAATTTTAATGCTTCAATGTGATTATGTAGGTGTGTACAGTTGAATGATTGTAGCTGCATGTAATAGCAAATGCGATGAAATAAACTTATAAATTATTACATTCTTTTCTTAAAAGCTACTCCTCATAAGTCACTGAACAAATATCCTTAAAAAAACCGTTAAATGATCGTTAATCGGTTCAAATATATTTCGGTATTTTTCAAAAAATATTATGTAGATATTTTCATGGTAAAAAAACGCGAAATAAACTTTTCCAAATGTATTAGCAAGCAAAATCCCCTTAGTATATTTATCTAGGCTATGCGCAACCCACGTAAGTGAAGGCTTTGGCAACGGCTAAAAGGTAGGAAGCTTCAGTGAAGCTAATCCTACATATTTAATTTAAGGGTTTGCTGAAGTCTAGATGCAACATCTGATCACTAGAGGTGCGGCTTCAAGCGGGCGTCTGTCTTGAAGCAAACGGCTCGCTATATAAATGTGTGCTAAATTTAAAACTATTCGCTAAGCGAGGTTGTGCGCTGGGTTTGGCTTCCGACACGTTAATACCAGCTGCAATAACCTCCGCCGTGGATGAACACCTCGCCACAATCTGCATTGCGAATTAAACTCACGCCCCGATAGAAAAGAAGGACGTTTAAGCCAAGGATGATTCTTATGAACGCCTGGAGCCTACTTATAAGTGCTGCCCCGTCATCCACAAATTGTTTGTAGTACTCAATTCGAGCACAAGAAAACTTAGTTGACTGGCACTCTCCAGACCGATCATGTTGTGTAGATGGACGTCTGTATCCAGTGTTCATGACGTGCATACACTCCGCGTGCCCAATATCGACTCGAATCACCATGTTGTCAACAAACATAAGGAAGGTTGGTGCTTTTCTACTCGAATTACACTCCTGTTCTCTGGGAGCGCTCATCAGCAACTCGGTATTAGGGAAGGGAAAGAAGCAGTGCAGAGAAAAAAGACTGTCTACCTCGCAATGTTTCAGTCGAAAAATACACGTCCAGGGTGGGATAGATACCGTGAATTGAAGAGGCAAACAAAGACACATTTGCAAAAAAAAAAAAGAAGAAAGAACCTCTTGTAGGACCCATAGGCGAGATCTAATGATTGATGCCCAGAGTATACTAAAATCCACGCAAAAAGAGGGACACCACAGTCGGTGCTAATAAGCCTCCTCAATATCGCATATAAGGTTATATCGTGTGTATTATGTGAAAGAAAAATAAAGGTCATAAAAAACTGATTGAATCTTATAGGCGAGGTTTTGAACCAGACATTCACCAAGAATCCGCCTAATCTTAAAAAATACCCCTTCTCGACGAACACAGACTAAACTCTACAAGCCGCTCATTATTCCCATTCTGCTAGATGGCGCGGAGTATGGCCGATGACAACTTCTAATGAGTCAGGGTTAGGTGTTTGCGAAAGAAAGGTTTTCCGCAAGATTTGTGGTGCTTTACAAGCTGGGAACGGCGAATACCGTAGCCGATGGAACGATTAGCTGTACAGTGATATTGATATAGTTCAGCGAACCAAAAGACAACGGCAAGGCTGGCTAGGTCATATGGTCCGAATGGGAGAGAACACTACAAAAGCTTTCGAAGCACCCGCCGGTGGAAGCAGAGGAGGAGGACAGGTTTGTGTACTACGTATTTCCAATTGGTCCGAAAAAGCGAAAAGAAGGAATTATATGTTTGTGTTTGTGCTTATGTGCATAAACTGTAGGTCCATAAAATCGTTGGAAAAACATCAAGGCGCCACAAATTGCAGAACTTCGGCCGAAAACCGCTTCAGCGTTTACGAGCGCCATATATATGCGATATTATTGAAATATTTACTGAAACGTGTGCACTGGAACTGTCCCAGGTATGCCTTTCTTCACTAAATGCGCGCCATTTTCGCGCTAGAGCAGTGAATTTTCCGTTACAATGATGATGATAAGTATGTATACAACAGTGTCTGTAGTGGTGCAACTTAGTGGATGCCGAATAGCCAAGTTGCGCAATGATAATTATATTTAATATGCACATAAGTTTATATTCAAAATATTAGTCGCGCTCATAAACGAATGCTGTGTAGGTCGGTTTTTGTAAAATATACTGTTATAGTTATTATATGTCTTATTTTTATCTGTTTGGTTGATTGGTTCAGGCTCTTATTGACAAAACTTAAAAGGAGAGCCCGCGGCGAAACAGGAAGAAAATTAAACATTATGTAATGGAAGAATATTGCAAAGACCGCCTTCACTCCACTTCAGTTCATACATATATTTATAATAGAGCTCAGATTATATATTTTACACCAGCTTACAACATATGTGAAACTCAATTCGCGGATTTCTTTCCCAAACTGGGCAAAAGGTTTCTAACAGCAGGTAATATCTTGGAAGGGACTCGACGTTAAATCTACCGGACAGCCAGCATACTGGCCAACCGACCTGAGTAGAATCAATAGAGCAAAAGTAAAATCACTTTTCGGCTTGTCGGTGATCCCTGGACTTGTTTATATTCCCCTAACATAATTCTGTTTAACTGATAAATAAACAAATGGGTTCAAATACAAAAAAATCTCCGAAGAGATTGGTAGAAGCTTCGTTTCACGGACTTAATAGATACGTAAAAGAACTTCAGGGAAATAAATCTCAAAATTCATTCTATCTCTGTGAGCTGATGCTGGTAGGAACTAGTATTTGTGGCGTACAGTTAAATGTTTCAAAAGCCTGGTAATTTGCGACTCTCCATTGAGAACTTACAATGGTGAGTGAGCCCGAAGCGACTTTGCCTAATCGTGAATCTAATTCTTTTCTTAAATTTAGTGAAGACACAGATCAAAATTGTATTCAATTTGAATTTAAATCCCTTAGAGAAATTACTGCTGATTACATAAAGAAAAGGAAATTTCCTGGCAATCCCGCACATGCTTTATAACGTAAATGTGGGGTTAAGATTGCATCATTTTCCAAAATTCTGGCAGCTCTCGAAAATTATTAAGGTCTCGAAACCAGGAATCGTTATTCATATTTGGCAGGCTTCTATAAGTCTATTAGCTTAATTGTGATCTTCTCCAAAATCTTCGAAATACAACCGATTTTAGAAGCAAACCATGCCATACCACCAAGTCGGATTTAGAGAAAGGCACAGCACAATGAAGCAGGTACATACGATCGTAACAAACCTAAGATCAGCGTTTGGAAGCAAGCAATTTTATACTGAGAAATACGCCTCCCGTAAATATTTATATCATATAAAGAATTGCTGTCGAGCTAAGTTGCAGGTGTTCCAAAAGGAAATGTTTTAAGACCCGCCTTCAATTACACAAGCGATCTTCTCGCAAACCGCACCATAGAAAAGACACTTCTTGTTCGAACCAAAGAATGTCCAAAGGAGGAACGAAAAAGTCACTAAGAATGGCAAAGTTATGAGCGGGTTCATTTTTGAAGATATAACGGCGTCGGCATTTATTAACGTACCCATTCAACACAGAAGTGAAGTACGTCGCTGAAAAAATGTCTTGTGAGAATCAGCATCGGGGGTCATCTCGTTTTGGGCCCCTTCACCGAACGTGTGACGCTTTGTAAGCTTCCAAAGGAAATTGACGCATTCTGGTGCCATAGCAGCAATAGCTTCTTCGGGACGCACGTACGGCGTCTGAGGATACACAACGTCCGCTGGGCGATTGTGTCGACCGAATATTGGGTGCAGCGCGAGGCGAACCGTTATTTTGATAAAAAAATTGTCCGATTTGCGAACTGAGTATAAATCAAGTAATAGCTGCCAAAAAGAGCACTGCCTCACTGAAAACCACTTTTCCAAAAAACACCCTATTATTTAAGAAGTAATTTTGAGATTTCCAGATTTTTCTTAGTTCCGGAAAGGATTCAATAAGAAACCCAAAAAACATGGTGCTTCAGTATTGCATAAATCTGGGTTGGGCTTATTAAATCTTTTATTTAAATGAAATGTGTGTAAAATGAAAGAAATTGACTTACGCTGCTTTTATTTATAACTCCGCGACATTTTCACACACTACAAGTCTTCACCACATTACAATACAGACACACACATTTTGCGAAAGTTTCAAATTAGTGTAAGCCTGTATGTTGTACTCGTTTGTATGTGTCTAGTGCGTAATGAGTGCGCTTTTCCCTCTCCATGTGTGTGTGTGTGTGTGTGTGTACGCGAGCGATGCATTAATGTATGTTAAGCATGCAATAAATGAATTACACGAAATAATTTTATAATTGATTTAAAGTGTTTTGCGCCAAGTGCCGTTAAATATGCCAACCGTCCCTCCGTCCGTCCGCGCGGGTATTGGAACGCTTGTGTTGTGTAATTCACACTTTCAATGAATTTCAATTAATTTAATTTCATGCTTTCACTCTAATTAGCGCTTACTAAAGGCAAATTAAGGTTTATGCACACATACAAACATACATACATACATGCGCACATACATATTTAATTAATTGTTTCAAAAGGCTATAAATAGCAAGTGTTTCAAAGACCCAAACTATTTGCATAAATTTCTAAATTTATGATTTGTTTCCCGTTTAATTAGTCTGTTATTGGCTGTGCACACTTCCACAGATATACTCGTACATACGTACATATATTAATATATAGCAGTATGAAATTCAATTAAATCAAATTGTGCAAATACTCACAATGCACTCCTCATTCAAGCAGCACAAATCACCGGACGCCGACGTGGGCTTCCAAAAGTGCTCACCCTGCACCGCATTCTCCGTCCAGTCGGGCACAATTCGTATCGGCCGTCGTGCATTACTCGCCGATGCTGACCGTCTGCAATGGAGGAGAGACATGAAAAAATAGAGAAATATTTTAATATACGCATTTTAAACATTTTGCATTCGAAATTAGAAAAAGTGAAAATATTTCGCCTAAATTGTTGCAACAGTCGGTATTTTTATGTGGCTGCCAGTTGCCGACGTTATGCGGCTGTTGGCGATAAATAACTTGAGAGTGGTAGTAGATTCAGATAAAAATAAAAGGAATGGGAATGTAATGGACGTCAAAGGAAAAGAAAAATATATTGAAAATTGATTTGGTGCGTTCTCAATAGATGGCTCCACCTGCCATTGAAGCGATTACCTCATTAAAGAGGAAGGTTTCACATCTGTCAGCAATAATTTGTGTGCACCGGCGTCTGTTTGTGACAACAACATCGAAATATTCGGATTTGGAATATTTGATTTTCTATTTTAATTCAAAGAGACGTGCAGCTGTAGCCCTTCGAATGCTTATGGAAGTTTATGGTGAATCTGCGCCGACCGATAAGTCATGCAGAGAGTGGTTTTAACGATTCAAACATGGTGATATTAGCGCCGAAGGTAAAGAGCGTACTGTCCAGTCCAAAGAGTTTGAAGATGAGAAATTTGTAACGCTGAAGCAATTTTCGGCCGAGCTCCTCCTCCAGTTTGTGGTTTTTGCGTCTTGATGTTTTTTCCAATAAATTTATGGACCTACAGTTTATGCTAAGCCGCCTTCAAACAGTTGATCGAATTTTTATGAGGAGCCCTAACTTCATGTCAGAAATACACTCGGAGGAGTTGACACTCCCGGCCATGGAGCGACCGCAATTAGAAAATTTAACTTATTTTTTTATTTAAATGAAACTTTTGGATGTTGCTGAAATGGCGGATCTTACCCCACCTGCCGAATTCCTCAGACCTTGCTACTTCCGACTACTGGCTTTTTCGGCGGATGCAAAACGATTTGGAATAGAATAGCGCAATGGTTGGATCGAAGACAGGGAGGACTTTAAAAAATGCTAGACAAAGTATTTTTATGATGAATTTTTTAAACATTTTTATATATTTTTATATAAAAACACTTGGACGCTTGGACCAAATTAATTTGTTCACCCAGTATATATTTCGAGTATTTTATAAAAATAGCTTAAAATTTTAATTTTTAAATACTTTCTTTAAAAATTAAGAAAAAAAATCGATGAATCCACAAGTATTGCAAATTTTTGTTGTCTATAGAACCGACGGTCTTTAGCGTCGGAACATGGAGATTGGCGCCATAGAATATTTTTAACTTGAACAATTTCACCTCTAACGAACTTTGCAAGTGCAAATAACAAAAACAAATGCTCATCATTGACCATGCGAAAGGTTGACATTTTGGCATTGGCGAACGCAAGCAAAAATAAATAAAATAAAATAAAAAAAAGATAAAAAAAAAATAAAAAATATTTATTAAAAAATACCACAAAGAGCAGAGAATAATAATAAAGACCAACAAAAGTGAGGCACGAAGAGCAGCAGGATGCATGAAGCACTGCTGAAATGTGCTGTGAAATGTGAGCCACTTTTCACTGGCGACACGCAAATGGGACAGTTGGACAGCCACCGGGACAAGCTGGTAAGCCGCCAGTTAGCTGGATGGACGGACAGACGTACAGAAATGCAAACTGAAAGGACAGCAAAACAATGCAAGAAAAAGTAGTTGCCTTCCAGCTGACTGCCGATTGATGTGCAAGTATGTATGTATCCATGCGCTTGTGGGTGTTTCTATACATCAAAGTGACAACGCGCATACATAAAAACAAATAAACAAATGTAAATTGGTGTAGACGAGTGTCATTGCAACTGCAGCTTTGGTGCATCACTTCACTGCCTCTCTGTGTGGGCGTATGGGTGTGGCTTGGCCATTAGGGTCTTGTGATGGACATTACAATGTTGTTGATGTTGCCAGTTATCATCACCAACGATATTGCTAATGTCATTCAGCTGGCTCTTAGCGTGTGTGTGTGTTCTGCGTGTGCGTTCTGTATATAGTTGCACAAAAGCAGGAGACCATACAATTTAAATTTTTTATTTTTTTATTCTTAATTTTTTGAACAAGCTTAGATTTTTTTTAAAGTTTAATTTTTGTTAATTTTTTTTTGTTTTATGTATATTATAATTTTTTCTTTCTTGTTGTATTTTTTATATTTTTATCATTTTTAACATTTTTTCTTATTTGTTATCAACTTTGATTATGTTTTTTAATTTTAAGTTTTTTTAGTTTTTAAAATTTTTGTTGTAATTGTTTATTTTTTAACTGTTTCTGTTTATTTAAGTATTCTTTTTTATCTTTACTTTTATATTTTTTAATTTTTTTAATATTTATTAAAATAATTTTTTGTTTAGTTTTATATTTTCTTATGATTATTTTTTAATTTGTTTTATTTTTTTTTAAATTCTTAAGCCTTTTGTTATTATTTTTTGTATTGGATGAGTGCACAAATTCGTGCCCGATTCCGCTGGATGCCGTTCGAATCGTTTGAGAGTGGGGCTCGTGAAAGAAATATATACATATATTATATATCGTTGGAAAGGTGACAGTCCGAACTGTAAATCAAGCATAAAATAACTTCATTTTGATTTGAGTTGCTTAGTGAAAAGACGCATGGAAGATGGACAACGAAAAAGATCATATGCGTCATATTATGTTATACGAATTCCGCAAAGGAAAAACAGTAGGCGTTGCAACTAAAGATATTCGCGAAGTTTATTTGGACCGTGATCCAGCACTCCGCGCAGTAATGAAATGGTTCGCGAAATTTCGTTCTGGAGATTTTAACCTCGAAGATCTACCTCGCAGTGGACGGCCTTCTGAGCTTGATGACGATGTTCTAAGGACTTTAGTTGCGAATAACTCACGTATTTCGACGGAAGAGGTTGCCGGTGAATTGAACGTCAACAGATCAACTGCGTTTCGTTGTTTAAAAAAGGTTGGGTACACTTTGAAGCTCGATACATGGGTGCCATATCAGTTAAGTGAAAAAAAAACAAAGTGGACCGTATGTCAACAGCAATTTCTTTGCTTCGACGGAACAAAAACGAACCTTTTTTGGATCGGCTCGTGACTGGTGATGAAAAATGGATCCTGTACAACAATGTTCAACGCAAAAGAACATGGAAACAGGCACACGAAGGGGCGGAACCGATGTCGATGAAGGTACTGCTGTGCATTTGGTGGGATATCCGAGGCGTGATCTATTTTGAGCTCTTGCCAGCTGGAGAAACGATCACTGCCAACAAGTATTGTCAGCAATTGGTCGAATTGAAGAAAGCAATTGACGAAAAACGTCCGATTTTGGCCAATCGCAAAGGAGTTCTTTTCCATCATGACAACGCCAGGCCACATGTTGCAAAACCGACCCTGGCCAAACTGAAGGAGATGAATTGGGAAATCATGCCGCATCCCCCATATTCACCCGACACTGCACCTTCTGATTATCATTTGTTTCGATCGCTGCAGAACAATTTGAATGGAAAAAAATTTAAAAATGTGGAAGACGTTAAAAACCACCTTGACACCTTTTTCAACGAGAAACCGCGCGATTTCTATGAATCAGGCATCCGTAATTTGGTTGAACGTTGGGAGTGGATTGCCGAACATGATGGCGAATACATAATTGATTAATAAAAGCGCTTTCTTCAAAAAATTTCAATTTTAGTTTGCACTTGAAATCGGGCACGAACTTATGCACTCATCCAATATAAACTATTTTATTTTCAATGTTTTGTTTTAATTTTTTTTTAATATTTTGTTAATAATTTTATTTTTATTTTTTTATAAGTTTCTTATTTTCTTCTCGGTTTCATTTACCTTTATTTTAGTATTTTCGGTTTTTTTCGTCTGCTTTAAGAGTCGCAGTTGCATTTGTGTTGCGTGCATCCGCTGCGCTCGGTGCGTGTTGACAAGACTTTCTACATGCGATTTGCATTCATTTGACAGTTTTTTCCCTCACTCGTTAAGTGAAATTGATGGGTGTGTGGAAAGTGTCACAACTTTTTTGTTGTTTTTTTTTATTTCGAATTTTTCCTCATAAAATGTAAATTTCTTTCTCCATACAAATGCGGCTTTATCCTGTGAAATGCTGCACTCGCATGCTGTTTGCGACTTTTTTTGTGGAATTCCACAATTGTGCAATTTCAAATGTCCGTTTCATTCATGCAGATTCGTGTGGGCGGGTTAGACGCATTCTGATGCGTACGAAGAAATCTCTTCTGTGAAATTCCAAAAATTTCCAAAAATTGTTGTGATTTTTTTTTGTGAAATCTTTCTAAAAAAAAACTTTTTTTTTTGGCTGAGTTAAGAGGATACATAGGTTTCATCGTTTCAAAAATTTAAGTGTTTTAATGCCTTATTGATTTCTGAAAAATTTTACTCATAGTTAGGCAGGCTCAGCTCAAGTGCTTTAAGCTTTAAACGCCTTTAAACTTCTACGCCTTGGTTAAAGTCAGTTGTCCAAACTTCACGAAAACTACTTTAGACAGGCCTTGGCAATACAATTCGCTACTACGGACTACTATAAAAAAGAAATTGTAAAACAATCTGCCAAAAGAAATAAAATAATAATTTTTTTTTTCACTTCGGAGATTCTTTCATGAGTTCTACAGTCAGCGCAGGCGCACCTTTTTGCCGAAAAATCTCCGGAAATAACGTCACAATGACGGAGTTTTGAATAGTTCCAGCTGAAATTTCCCTGAATCATTAAAAAAGTAAATAGTTTGTATAAAATGCTTATTTTATAAGGAAAAAACAAGGTTGAAAATAGACTTTTCCCCCGAATAAACCCGTGTTACCCATTAAGTAAAGATTGTTGTGTCTAATAATATTTGTGTGTTTCAAAAATACGAAAATTTACAGCGAGCTCTGGCCTTTGTGCAATTTTTAGCTGATTTTTGTGTGAGTTTTTGACTTTATTTTCGAATGGAAAGCATTACTGATATGCTGAATACTAACTGTTTGCCTAATCCTGCTCCACCTTTCGCAAAGCTCAA